CTGAGTTAGAGTGCACCGACCACTCAGTCAGTGTCTTATGCTCTGTCTCATTGTAAGTCATACTTTCAGTTCATAACTTATACAAATTGGCTTGAGGCAATGTTGTTGTGCGATTTTTCAACAAATTATCGAAATTATGCTGTCTGAATTACTTTCACTCTGCATAACAAGTTTTCGCACAAATACCCTAACTAACTACCCCAACTGGTGGAGAAAATTAAGAAAATATTACTTAATACAAACATTCCCGACATTCTCTGGCGATGTCGTTACTTGAGCGGAAACCCAACTCAATTACGCTCTGTCTGCAATTAAAGGCAACATTAAGTAAGCCAAGATAATTAATACATTACTGTCTTCACAAAGGGATCCCGAATTCCTTGATTCGAGTGCGGCCAGCACATATACATACAAAGTGACATGCAACACATATACATATAAGTGAATATGTATGTAAGTTGCAAGAAGTATTTATCTTAATGTTGGTTGGATTTAAGACAGCGTCTGTTGCTCAACGACATCTCACGAAGGGAAAATTTATAATCATCATATTTTTGCTATGCTTATTTTCTTTTGCACCTTCATAATTTATTTAATGTTGTCATTATTCCTGGAAGCTTAAATGATATCTCAATTCCATACAACAGTCTATGTTGTAATTTCTAATTTTTTATCAAAATAAATTCGAAACAGAATTTATTAAGTGACGTTTGACATGGGTACTGCCATTTTTTGTTTTTACAATAGAAACTTCCGAGTATTAACAAAATGAAAATGTCAAAATGCTTTAAGATGTTGCCTCAAGCAAATTGAGTTTAATATCATTAAAGATACTCGTATCTAAATTTCATTAACAAAACTCGAGCCATTTTCCTCAAGGTAATCAAATCTTGGCACATGTAAGTTGCAGCTCAAGGAAATTGCATATTTCTTGTGAGCATTTTATATTCAAATAGAGATCGTAATTTGTTAATTTGTTAATTTCATTTTATTGCTGTGATAGGTCCAATTACGTTTGCAGCTGCAGCTATATTTGTCATGAAATCTTATTAATTTATGATTTGACTTCAAGCGCGCTCCACAGGCACAAAATGTGCTAATAATAAAGATTTAAAAGTGAAAAGAAAAAAAAACAGCAGCAGTGCAAACACTATAAAATAAAAGCTTCAGCGCACTTTTAATCTAGTTGAGACTTTTCAGCTCCACACCTCCCCCCCGAGCACCCTCCACATGCCCCCTTCAACAGTCGTGCAGTGGCGCTTATGTTTAATGCATGCCACAGTCAGTTCGTGGCAGTTGTAAACGTAACCAGGCAACAACTGCGGACAGCAACTATGACTGGTCTTAATCGCAATTGCAGAGCCAGTCAAGCAAACGCCAAGACCTGAGACCTGAGAACAGAGGACTGACTACTGAGCACTGAGCACTGAGTACTGAGTAAGGAGACTTGGCGGCCCACGCCACAGACTACAGTGATTGCTACAAGTGTAACAGCAGGGTGTGAGGGGTCGGGGGGGAAACTCGTGAAAACTCTACGGGGGCTAAGACTCACACTGAATGCCAGGGTGGACAATTGCTGTGTAGGGCATTTTGTGGCTGGGACTACTGATGAGGTACGGGGCGGGGGAGGTTATGAAGCACACATACACACACACACACACACACACAAAGGCACACACACCAAAACTGTCGTCCTCGCACTTGGCTTTTATATTCAAATGGCAACAAACCTCAAGCAATTGTAGAAAACACAACGCGTCGCACCGAATATAAAAAAAAAAAAAATGTAAATAAAAAGCCAAAAAAAAAAACAAAAATTAAGGAAAACTTGTAGATGCGACCGCGAAGAGCAACAGTCAACGACGACGACGACGACGACGATGGCAGTGGCAGCAGCAGTGACGGCAGCGGCGATGCGACGTTGCGACGTTGCGACGAACTGACGACGACGCCGCTGACAGCTGGAGCACGACGCGACGTAGCAAAAAGATACGACACCAGATATAGGCGCACACACGCAGGCACGAACACAACACACAAGACACAAGGCACAGGCACACTGGGCACTGAGATGGCAATTTGTTGTCCCGGGTTATCCCACAGCGACGTGGAGACTAACACGCCGCGCAGCCAAAATTACACTGAAACCGTTTGTAAATGTGAACTCCAGCAGCAGTGGCAGCAGCAGCAGTGGCAGCAACGTCAGCCGCCGCCACAATTGAAGCCGAGCCGGGACCGGCAGACAAAAAACCGACCAAATATACAACGGGATCACAATATACGAGCGGAGCCAGAGCACAGCATATACTCCACAGTGTATCTATGGTAACCGAAGGCAGCGCACGAGAGCCTCAGTGCCCTGGCCCCAACCTCAGTCCCAGTCGCAGTCGCCGTCACAGCCCGGAGGTACGGAGCCGGGGGAGGTGGTAGGCCAGGCATCCATGCAAAATAGCCAAATAGCTAAAGTAGCGACAGAGAAATATATTTTTGGCTGAGCGACAAACAAAGAGAGAGAGAGAGAGAGAGAGAGAGAGAGAGTGACAGAGAGAGAGAGAGGAGAGAGAGTGTACCGCGCGAGAGCTTCATTGACAAATGCAAACGCAAAGAGCGTCAGAGCGAGGGAGAGACAGGGAGAGTGAGAGAGCGAGCTTTTTCCAGGCAACTCTCACCGCGCATAGACCAAAAAACCGAAAACTGAAAACTGGAAAACTGTTAATATAAATGCCTTTCAACTCTCACGCAATGTCGGCAAGTCTTTAGCGTGTTTTGTTACCCTCACCGAGGATAGTGTAAATATATCACAATGCATGTGACATGCTGTTGACAGTTTGACTATTTACCATTATTTTCAAACGAGGTTTTAAAATATTTAGTTGCGACTGCCTACATTAAAGAAAGATATGGCAACGATCCTGAATGATCCGTTGAAAATTTAGTTAAATGCTAAGGGACCAGTTTTTCATAGTTTACCAGTGCATTACTCTCATATTTAACTGTATTCAACTGTATCAGAAAAATACTAATTATATTTAATAAGTTTCCAAGAGTATTCCATCTTCGTTACACCTTTCATTGTGGTTTTTTTCTTTTTCTTTACCTGCTCCCACAACATTCCAGCAAATGAGAGCCAAAAGCAACAGCAAACGACACCAACAACAATTTTGATGTTCAAAGATTTGCTAGCTTCAATGCCTATTACTACGTGCATACATACGTACATAAATACACATATGTAGATACTCATACTCTTGCAGATACTGACAGATACTGGTAGTAGATACTGGTAGTGCCTTATGATTTTTGACTCGTAATTGAAATTTTATACATTGTTAGTTTTGCGAGGGAGGCATTCGGGGTTCAAAGTACGATGAAATTGTTGTTGTTGTTTTTGTTGGTGCCGCCGAGCAGCTGACAAACTGACTGGGCGCCAACTGTTGATTGGTATGTAAACTGGCCGTGGGGTAAAACCTCCCTGCACCCCTTGTGTACTTTGTGTTTTGGTTGTGGATGCTGTTGTTGTTGTTGTTGTTGTTGGGTTTTCGTTATCCTGATGGTTTCATGACCCATTCTGCTGTCTAATGAAGCGCTTCTCTTAGCAGTAGTCAACACCCGCTGGGCAAGTGAACCGAATGTTTTACACCTGCCCAAAAGCTTTCTATTTAACAGCAAGGGTCAAGCCCTATGGGGCAATTGTTTTGGGGTTAGCCTTATAAGATATTCATTCGAGTAATGTAATTGCTTTCACAATTGAGCAATGAAACCGTTACACTTAAATTCCCACAATTTTGCTTTTGTTGCTTGTGGCGCACGTAAACTAATAAGACCCCAACTATACAACTTGGAGTCTTGCATATCGAAGCATGATTTGCTATTTTGCATTAGTTTGATGACTCAACAGAAAAAAAGCAGTTATCGACTCACGTAGCAAAAGGAAACATGGCAAAAAAGTTTGCTCTCTTACTTTCAAAAACCAAAATGCAAATAAAAAAAAAAACGAAAAATACAACTGAATCGATTTGCGAAGCTTACCTATACTATGAAAGTTTCGTTAATAATTATTGAAAAAAAATGTTCAAAATTGTTTGGTGTTCAATAGATTTGTTTATTGCATTTCAGTTTTGAGTTTCGTATATTTATAATATATTTAAATTTATTCTTGTTCAAGAATTATTGAGAAAACAGTTTTGCTTTTAATTTAAATAGTATACAATTCTCTTAACTATACAATTATAAAAATCAGTTTTAATTATTGTAAAAGAAGAAACAAATAATAAGGAACTAAAACGATAAAAACAATGTTTTTGCGCTTTCGCATTTTTAATATATAGTATGTATGTATATGTATGTATGTATGTATTTATGTATATATGTACTAGTATGTACTAAATGTTTAATGTAACTTTCCTATTAATGCTTTTTCCATTGTAAAAACTTAACAAATGTTTTGCAAACTTTATCATTTATTTGTTTTCGTTTTTTTTCTTTTTCAATGAATCATTTTACTTTTTTGTAATTATTCCAAAGCGTTAGAATCTTTTGTTGTATTTTGGTTTTATCTTAGAAATTACCGTAAGTATTATGTATAGATACAATAAGTATGCATGTATTATGTAAGTATGTATAATGCTTGCTGAGAGATATTCAAAATTTACAAGAGGGTTTACCTAATAATTATATCCAAATGAAACACTTTCATATATGTATGGTATTTACTCTGCTTTGAACTCTGACCCGCTGTCACTACACCTCTCCGCTCCCCACATTTAAGAAAAGGAAAGAAAATATTTGAAACAGGAAACAAGTTGAGAGCTGCGTTTGCTTACAGCAACTTTGAAGAACAGCATCTGAATATATGCATTTTAAGTCGTTTAACGCTGGCTGGTTTGAACATCGGGTAGTTCCCCCAATAATCAATTCCCAAGTCGCTCCACCCCTTCTCGGACCCCCGCCACATGTTGTTGTTGGTTCCAGGTTCAAAATATGTAATTAAAGTTGAAGCCGTTTTATTTAATTTTTTTTTACTCCCGCTGCTAATTTGTGTGTTGTGTGTTGATGAGAAACAGCCAGACGGGAATTTTTCATTTGTTTTTCTAAAGTTTTTAGAAGTTTGCACAATGTTTTTCGGTTCGCAGCATTCAACGCTGAAGCCAAATAAGATGGTCCATAGGATGTAAGTACTTATTAGCTCCAAAGTTAACACGTGCCTTTAAGACGCGATTGCCAACGTTGAACGCTCCAATGAATTCTAAGCACACATTTTTTGTTTCTTTATTTTTTTTTTCTTTTTTCGTATTTGATTTTATAGATCTGATGTCTGGAGCTTTCTAGAGTTTTTTCTAATTAGAATTTTACAAAGTTGATAAGCATCATAATGTTTGCACAGCACAAACCAAAATCGAGTTAGTTGAGATTGTTTTTTGTTTGGGGCAGCTAAATAAATACTGAAAATTCGCAGAAAACTTTTCAATTACTGAGCTTTAAAAACAGCACAATTCTTTGATGTTTTGACTAAATTCTAAATGAAATTAAAGCTTGCGAAACACAATTGTTGTCAGACAATACTTAAGGAACTAATTAAAATCAATTTGTTATTTAATTCTTGTATCTGCGACTGATAAAATGGTTACCTACATACGTAGTCTGTACATTTCTGGCTATTTGTGGATTTGTTAAAATGGATCGATTAGCTTTTAAATAAAAAACCTTCATTATTAAAAGCGCTATTTGGTATCTCCTCGAAATGCCAAGCAGTGCCGTGTTGCATTATTAATTGTAATAATACTTATATAGCTACAGTAATATGTATGTCATGATATGGCCGAATATGGGAGTCTAGTTAGCGTGATAATAGATTGATAATTAATCATAAGTAGTTGTCATACGTATGCGAAGGTTAATATTTGATAGGTTATAGGCTAAATATTGCTTGATGGGTTTGAGAACGCTTTTCATGTTGTTCAGCTGTTTCACTCTTTTTTTTTAGAGAAATGCCTTCTTGGTGGCCTCCACAGTGGTGCTCGTGGTGGTGGTGGTGCCAGTGCCAGTGCTATCCTTGCCCAAACTGGCGGTTGTAGAAACCGCTATGCTGGGAACCGCTGGCAATGTGCCCGATGCAGCTGCTGCTGCTGCACCGACAACTGTTGCTGTCACCGTGCCTGCTAATGTTGCTGGCATTGTCGACACCAAAAAGGGCGGGGGCACGGGCGTGGGCGTGGTCGTGGTCGTCGCTGCTAGTTGTGTTGGGAAACGAGGCTGAAATGTGGGCTTACCCATGGCCAGTGCCGGATTCAAATCTAACATGGTGCGCGGACTCATCGCAACGATGCTGGCTCCCAAGGGACCTGTGAAGAGTTGAGCAACTGTTTGGTTTTAGCGTAGTTTAACCATATCGCAGAAGAATGTAGAAGTAGTAGAGGTAGAAAGACAGCAAGAGAGAAACGTATATATAAAGAAAGAGAGAAAGAAAGAGTGGAAAGAGAGAGAGAGAGAGAGAAAGAGAGAAAAGCATATTTATTAAAATTGGTTAATTTAAGTGATAGAGTATGGAAATCCAAATTCGATTTACTTATTTTAATTTCAGGGGTAGACGCAACGCAATTAGTGTTGTTTAATACAGGGTGCATTTGATACTACTCATTACAGGGTGTGTGGGAGTAAAACACAATACAATACATACAAAATACACAATACACAATATACACATTATTCACGCACACACACACACACATACACACACACAGAAGACACAGAATGTTGCGCATTGTTAGTTCATATTAGAGTAACTAATAACTAATCTAGGATTAATGTCACACTCGAGTGGTTAGCACCACCTCCAGGACGGGCAGACATGCAGCATGCATCAGTGAATACAATCAACTACTTTTTGGATAGTTGAGGGGTTGCTTCAAGTGTTCGCAAACATTTCGAATCAACGCTGGAATGTTTAAGGTGTGAAGGTTACAGTTTCAGTTTTGTTATAAATTTTCGATTTCATGGAGGGATTGTTTGCTACAAACTAAATAGTTGCATCTGGTGGGAATTATTGCATGGCCAGCGCCTACACTACATAGAGTATATTGGATTTTCGGTTTACGGTTAGGGAGTAGAGTACAAGTACTTAGTGTTATATATAAGGAATATATGGTAAACCAACACACCCGCCCTGTACAATCCGTTAGATTTTTGCATAGCCTGAGAGCATGAGAGATGAGCGTTTTACGATAACGATTACGATTACGATTTCGATTGCATTATTTTTGTTTTTTTTTTCTTTGATTTTTTTGTTTTAATTTTGATTTTGATTTTTTGATCTGCAGTCGATAAACCTTTATTTTGTCTTTTTGATGCTTGCATTTGAACTGTAATTTCTGTTTTGGTACTTTTGGAATACAAATTACAAAATATAAACTGGATTTTTAGCTTTTTAGTCGAAAGTGAACGCCATATCTGAAAAAAGTTCAAGATAATACAAATATGTTGATCATACTAAGACTATAAGAAATTCAATACATATACGTAAATATAAATTTTATATTGAACTCTTGCAGAGCACTTCAAATAACAATGAAATATTCAGTAATATATATTTATATATAAAATACACACACGCAGACACACATAAAGATATACAACAAGTGAGATGTAGAGAGAGAAAGATATAGGGATACTTGTAGAGTAGATATATATATATAGATTTATATATGTTTGTATGCATATTGAGTAGATAATTTTGGAACGAACGAACGAACGAGCCAGAACTGAAGAACAACACGTATACGATGCGCAATATCAATATATCAATATATTCTTATACATATATATAGAGAGTAGAAGAAAACACGTAGAAAATTACATATTGTAGTTATATATACGGTTCACATATATGGTGTATATACGATTATATAGCAAGTTGGAGTAGTTATAGTAGTAGCAGTAGAAGGTGTTGGTAGTAGTAGCAGATGCCGCCGAATTAGGCACGTGTTTTGTATCATATCATAATCCATGGAGGCCAACGTACCACGATAAGGATCTCAATCCAGCGGCTCCTTTATAGCTGTTTCACTTAATATGCATATTTTTCTATAGATTTTCGATTTTCGATTTGTGATTTTGCTTTTAGCAGTAGATCTTTGTAGTTTGGTTGAATACATTTTAAATAATAGTGCTTCCAGTTCGAAGTTGTTGCCTCCATTCTATATATGTTCCTTGGATATGCCGAAAATATTGTTCTTTGCATTTGGAAAATTTCAGGGATCAGAGTTCTTGATGTGTTCTTGGTTCTTTCTTATTGTGGCTTAGAGCAGCCTGCTCTTTTTGCCATCTCGTGGTTTGCCAATCATTGTTGTATATTCATCTAAGTATTTACATAAGATTTGTGGTTTTTGATTGGGTTTTATCAAACAAACAAAAATTATAAATGTACAGTTTGAGCAAAAATATTTTTAAGAAGAGTTCGAAATGGTTTTAAGGCATTTGTTTCGATATTTGGATAAAATGAAATGAATTCTTTAGGCACAGGGACTTTAATATATATTACAAAACTATTTGCCTTTAAGTAATTGCAATTAAAAGCGATTGGTAAGAAGCCATGAATGGGAATTGAAAAATGTCTTTATGATGGAATTATTGTTGATTAGAGATCAAGAATTGTGTCGTCCAAAGCAATAGAATTGATCAACTCTCAGCTATATTCAACAATCTTCAATCAACAATACACATGATCGAAAAGCTCGCCGAGCTTATGAGCAGCATTAAACAAAAGCTAAGCTTTGAGATGAATCCAAAAATGAGCTTTCGATAATAAGATTTGAAAAATCATATTTTGAATATATGCATTCACATTGTAATTACATAGAGTACATATATACACGTTCAGTTTCGATATGCATACACATATGTATAAAAAAAACATAATATTTATGAAATTAAATATTATTTTCAAAAATAATTAGTCAATATTTGATTCGTACTTTAGCTTTGTGCTCAAGCTTGCAGAATTTTGGAACATTATTTCGAATGGATAACGCGTAGTACGCTCGGTATTTAAACAGGGAGAGAAAGGGAGAGAGAGAGGGCGAGAGTGAGGGGAGGCGACAGCACAACAAATGCTAATGTGAAGCCCAATGAACTTGAGTACTTGAGAACTTGAGTGCAGCTGTGCAAGCTGTGAGCTTTGTCGTGATGGTTAGGAACTCTTTGCCGCTCGGCTTGGCAAAAATGGGTTACTCAACAATTGTTTGTTTTTTTTTTATTTTTTTGTACTACATAGAGAGGCGTACGTTAGGTGTACCGGTTGTTCCCGGGTGTTGAAGCGCAGCTTAGTTGAAAGCTGGTGTAAATTGGTGCTGCTGATAATTGTTTCGTGTTTTTCTTGTCTTTTTTTTTAGCGTCGACGACGGAATCAAACACTCACCTGACTTGGGACTAACCAGATCCTTGGTTTTATTGTTCATGCGGCGCGGTCCGGTGCCGCCCGAGCCCATCGGACCCGAATGCGGACCAGAGCCTGGAGTACCGCAGCCACTGACGCCGCCGGGAGCGCCTACAAAAATACAAATAGGAAAAGGAGTTAGATACATATACATATACAGTCATACAAACCACAGAGATCTTTTACTGAAATGAAACTCTTTGTAAGACCTTTTTTTATAATACAGCCATAAGTTGATTTCAAGTTTCCATTTTTAAAAGATATATCAGTTATTTCTTAAGTTGACATAATAATATTTTCAGATATTTTATAATTATAATTTTGCCCTGAATTCTGTAACGTATTGAAGGAGATGTCTTCGATCCCATAAAGTATATATATTCTTGATCTATCTCACTAGCCGAGTCGATACAGTCATGTCCATCCGTCTAACTCTTTCTATGAAAACTAGTCCCTCAATCTTGAAACTAGCCTGATGAAATTTGGCATATTTTCGTATTTTTGTTCCAGGTATTAGATATGAGGAAGCCGACCGGTTCGGATTACAATATCATATAATTGTCATAGTAAAAATCGATGAGTTGTTGCATATAAAATTGTTATGTTTTCTAAGATATCCGAACCAAAATTATTCAATTTATTCTGCTTTAAACATTTGGACAAAAAATGATTGATATCAGACCTCTATATCGAGATCGAACTACTGTTCAGTGGATCGGTTTTTTAGATGTATAGTAAAATGTAAATGCCGCCAATTAGAATTGGGTCTACAGGGATATATAATCTTTGACGTGGCTATATTACTCTTCTTTACATACCCAAGTTCTTAAATTAATACTGATATGAACATAAAAGGTAACTAAATCAGACGATACTTAAGTTTTTTAGAAGGTTTGCACTTATTAGACACAAGAATCGCTTGTAAAGGCAACTTTAACTCTTTCGTTCTCTTTTATAAAGATCGAATTATAGTTGCAACTGCAGAGGTATTCAATGGCGATTGTAATTGAGATTTCAAACAGTGATTTTCTCTGAGTGTAGTATATTTGTTATTCGATGTGATACTTACGCTCACCTGGCAGACGCGCCTGTCGCGGCTGTTCCACGGGAAGCACTCGTCGACGCTTCTTTGGCAGTTTGGCTCGCGCCTGTGTATGCGAATAGTACATGGCAAAGTTACTGACTATGACGGGCACTGGCAGTGCAATGGTTAGCACACCGGCAAGGGCACAAAGGGCACCCACAAACATGCCAATGTAGGTCTTGGGCGCCATATCGCCGTAGCCGACCGTGGTCATGGTGACCAGAGCCCACCACAGGCCCAACGGTATGCTGTTGAAGTCGTTGTGTGGATTGGGCTGGATGCGCTCGGCGTAGTAGACGAGGCTGGCAAAGATCACAATGCCCAGCACCAGGAAGAATACCAGCAGCGTCAGCTCCTTCGCCGATGCCCGGAACGTTTGGATGAGTATCTTCAGGCCGGACGAGTGGCGCGTCAGCTTGAAGAGTCGCATTATGCGTATGATCGAGAAGAACTCGAGTATATCCGCGTTCTCCAGATGCGATGCGAATCGCTGAAGCACTAGATCGATATAAAAACTAAGCGTCGCTATATAATCTATGATGTTAACAGATGACTTTAAGAATTCACACTTATTCGGCGATGAGATAAAGCGCACCTGCAACGACAATTGCGAGAGAAATTCAGTAGTAGTTGTAATTGGTTCCTTAATTTCCTAAAATTTTCATTGTCAGAGCAGTACTACTTTTTATGTTATACAATCCAAAATATCTGACTATCCATTTTCAGCACTTACTTTTCTAGATAATTATTATGTTTACTGTCCTTTCTTCTTTTAGTTCTGTTTTATGCTATAATTATTAAATATTGACTTTTGTTAAGCTACTCTGATCACCTATTTTCAGGTCATATCTTCTAAGAAAATACTCGTACTTTTAGGTTTACTTTCAATCTCAGCTTTATTATACCTATTCTGTTAATCTTTCTTTACTTTCTTTATATAACGTTTATGATGAATCCAGTGAGGATGAATGTTTCTCTTTTAAGAACGCAATCTTATAAGCCACTCAATGTGAATTTTATAAAGTAATGATTTCTATACTTATATTGCCACGAATTTGCATCTTAACTTTTAGTTACATTCCTAAAGTAGCTTGACAACAACTCTCAGAATTGAAAGATATTCAGATGCATATATGACTAAGTTGCTCTGTATTGAGTTTAAATCGGTAACTCACCAGTATCTCAAATGTAAACCAGGCATTGCAAACGCATTCTATGTAGAAGAAGGCAATGTGCGCATTGGTCATTGATTTGTCCAGGAACCAGGCGGCGCTGCCGTTGGCCGTTTTCACGGTCACGTTGTGAACAATGGGCACACGCATGTCCGGATGGGTTTTCAGGCAGAAGGACAATATCGAAATGCATATGAAGAATACCGAAACGACTCCAATGGTCTGCAAGCCAAATCAAGACGTTAGTACAGCTCCGACTGGAGATTAAAAGCCAATAATTCACCTTGGCGGCATTAGAACTGTAAGGCTCATCGAATAGCGACCAAATGCGTGGTTTCATTTCCTGCCACCAGGATATGGTGCCCTTATAATAATCCTCTTCAAATCCAAATTTGCGCGCCAATTCCTCTTCGGACGGTTTTTCCGTATCCAGATCCAAGCGATCAAGTACGGCAAGGGTTTCCTGTGTGTCGCGATGCTACAAAACAAAAGAGAATCAGTCTGATGAAGTATATATTAATCGCAAGCTCTTACCTGTGTATAGGTCATCCAGCAGCAGGGCTCCACCTGATTCGAGTCAAGACCCCAAAATTCCAATTCCTCCTCGAACAGCGGACCGCACACATCTGTGGGATAGTGCAGCTTGCCAGTTCTATAAAGAATATATTTACAAATCAGTTGAAATATATTTTATATTATTGTTTCGTTTACCTGTAATAATTGAGCACTTGTGCGAATACGCCCGGATGCCGATCGAAGAAATACTCGTTCAGTATGGGATCATAGTTGGCCAGCGCTTCGGTCAGGCGCGACAGACGCGTCGCTGGTATTTTTTTCAGTGTAGCCTTATATGTCTCATGTCTAATGCCGCCCACGTTGAGCACGACACGGTTCTCCGAGTCCATGTTGATCAGATTCATGGCTGCATGCGCATAATGATGCATATTCTTAGGTATATATGTCATGATCACAGTAAAAATGAAGTGTGCCAGTTGCTAATTTGATTAGCTCTATCTACGATATGTGTTTATATATTTCGTTGGATATACGTTGTATATATATCTATCTCTTTTTTGTTTTGTATTGTTTGTGGGCTAAGTTCTACGTGTGATTTGTGTTAGCCGCAAACCTGAATATTTTGTTCTGTGTATTCCTTGCCCACGAGTTGAGTTTGTCACTGTCGCGTGTCCCGTTTAAAAGGCACACGCGCTCTCCGGAGCCGTGGCTGGCAACTGCTGGTCACGCCTACTGATGTCACCACCCTCACTTCCACTCACTTTGTCTGTTGGACGTGCCTGGCGCGTATGCACTTTAAAATGTATCTAGATGTTAGCACGACGAAAGCATTTTGGGTGCTTTCGTGTGGCATTGAGGTACTCACTAGGTTGGGGTCAGGTTGGACAACATTGCGCTGGAACAATAGAAAAAGAAATGGTATTTTCTGAACATATTGATGGTATTCATTTAATTAATTGATTATACTCAAAAACACAATTATTGTAGACTATTTATGAATATGCAATTATTTATGCATATTCCATCATCAGATAACCCCTCAAGAATTCTAAACATATCAATTCGAATAGATAACCTTGGATGTATAAAAAGTATACCAAGTGTGTCTTAAACCAATAATAGTGTAAACAATTCATTAGCATATTCATATTTTATATCACCACAAATGATTCTCGCACTTTCACACATCCGCCATTAATTATAAATCAACAAATGGTTTATTGAACGATTTGTTATGAGTACACATATCTCATCAGGGTACACATGAGAACGATAGATGTATATAGATATCTATGCAAAAGTCACGTAGTGATTCAACTCAATGCGAATTCAAAGGAAACCCAAAACTGATTGATGCTTCCTATTTCCCGATAATTCGATTTAGAATCTTACTAATCCAGGTGAATTTTTCCACGCTATACACACTCACTCAGAAGTAAAACAAATAGTAAAGACTACTCACTCGTACCAAGTACAACTAGCAATAATATTTGTTTCAATTGAAATTGACCCATTAGCAGCTCGTGAACGGCATCCCACGAAATGTTTTGCTTTTTTTTATGACTAAATATAATTGTTGGTAATAGTAGGGAGTCTTGAGATATAAATAGAGGAAAGAATATCATCGATAGCGTCATTAATTTGCCTTCGAGACTGCGAAACAGCCCCGAAAAAATCGGGGATTCGTGATTTGCACAAAGTTAAATATTTGTTCTTAAACAATATTTAGTTTTAGCGCTGCATTGTTTACACGCATACACACACACATATACAGAGTGGCGCACACGCACCCATTGTATTCAACGAATACACTCACACACAAAAAAATACACCCACATGCGGTCACAACAACGAAACGAGCAACAGCACTGTCTGCCAGTCTCTTCGAGCTGCCTGCTCTTTATGTCTGTCGATAGTCGACTGGCGACTGGCGACTTTCGGCTGTCGATTTTCAATGTTCATTGTTTATTTGCAGACACACAGCCAGATAGGCAGAACAGAAAAGAAAGGCAGACTCACGGATGGACGGACGGACAGGCATAATGAAAATCTTGAGCTTTATAAACAAAACAAACAATCAAAACACACACCGAAGGCGGCACGCAAAAAATAAATAGACAAATATCCCATATACGCTATGCATAGCATTTTTTGGTTTAGTACTAGGGTCGAGCTGTGGTTGCAGGACTTTACAATTAATGCTAATCATAATCATGTTGACACTCACTCCCGCATCAGCAAACAGAGAGAAATGCTTGCAAAGCCGTTAGGCAGCTCATAAGATTATATTATTTATAGGTATCTCTGTTGAATACTCCTCTAGCCATTAAAAACCTTATTCATGTAAGCAACGTTTGCTGCGAGCCCTCATTTTGGCCCCAGGACCCATAATTTATTTACTTTTAATGAGCATAGGAGAACTTCAAAAAAGCTCCAACACGTACACATACACACACATATATATTTAAAATGAGTTTTCTGTTTTTTGTGGCGCTTGTTTGCCTTTTTCAACCGAAATTTCCTTGCACACTAACACACCCACTACAAATATACATATAGACACATCCTGTTGGCAGCACACGCACACAGTCTTTGGCTGAGTAAGCATGCGGGGGGCAATCGGGGTCACTCGTGTTGCAAGTAGTAGTAAGTAGCGTGTTGTAAGTGCGGCACTGCCTCTAAATGCTGCTTGTGTTATTTTTTTTTCTTCTTTTTTTTGTTCCACTCTCTTTTTTGTTGTGGTATGAAGTCGTTGCTGCCTTCTGTTAACTTAGAGTGTACATGACACACATACACACACACACACCCATGCTGGGTGTTAAGCTGTGTGTTTGTGTGTGTGTGTGTGTGGGAACAGGCGCACGCATCGATTTTTCCGTTTGGTGTAGCACGAAAAACTTCCTTATTGTTTTGTTGGTCGTTGACTTTAAAATTAACTGACTTCTAATGCCCGCCTTGTCATAGATCAAACTTAGCACATTTTCCACTTGCTGCAAGTGTGTACATACATAAGAGACACGCACGAAGACACTCACTCACACACACACACACACATACGCACACACGCTCGCATTTTCCATTTTCAGTGGCCGCTTCTCACCTATTTGCTGGGTTTTCGGATTTTGTGCACGATGCCAATAAACATAATCGCTGAATAGTTTTCGCCGTCGTTGTTGTGTTTTAGTTGCTTTTGTGTCTGTTTGTGTCTGCCTGTGTGTTGTGACAAACCAAAAGGATTGCAACATAAAAACAAAAACAAAAAAGGGGGAAAAAAAACCTTAAAGCCTAGAACTACACTACACTTTTGTGCCGTTTAACGTGCCCCGTCTCGACGCTGCTTCACGTTTCGTGCTCGGCTCTCGACTTTTTGGGGCTCTGCGCGTTCCGAACGGTCCGATGCGATTCAACAAACTGAATCCGAAACACAAATCTGATGGAATTTTCATGTTCCCTTTCTCCCTGCGTGCTCTTTGGCTCTGCTATGGTGCATGCGCGCTGCGCTGCTTGCTCATTTCTCTTTTGCGCTGACATTCGACATGGTGTTTGGCATTTGGCGGCAAATGCAACGCTGCGTATACGTATTTTGGAAAATAAGGTTTCTAAATTTAACAAATTTTGACCTTGCTAAATTTTATACCTTCTTTGGTTTTTATGAACAATTTTTAAATTTTAACTATGTTTCAAGAAAAAAATACAGTCAAGGCCAGAGCTGGGTAGTTAGCTGCGTATACGTGATTTAAAGGAGATGAAATTCATTGCAAACTTAAATGTGGTATTAATCCAAAGATCAAGGCATGATTTAAATCATTGCTTTTTGATCGGTTCAATTTTGACAATATTATGGATGTGGACAATTGTTACCAGCTTACCAGCCCAAATGCTTCTAATGCATCATTTTCTTATTTGTAAAATATTCAAACATATATGAACTATATTACATTTTTATTTGATAATATATATTTAACAATTTTTCTTTTTTAATTGAATCTTTAATTGGTTATAGTGTAAGAATTGATATTCCTGTTACGATCGGTGAAAAGCATCTTTAACTTAAGAAGATGGCCGGCCTATTAAAATCAGGGCTAAAAATATGTTTAAAAAAATATAATTTATGTTCTTTGATTTAATATAGATTGTTTGATCAGTTATTTTATTTGAAAATATTTTATTTCAATGGCGTAAACAGTATAAAAAGAAAATGTGAAAGTACAGAGCGCTGTCCTTAAAAGCATTAATTAATTAATAAGCTCGATATAAAAACGGACGAAATATGAAAGAAATAGAAAGCTATTCACAATTATGTATTTTAAGGTGGAACCTATGAAATAAAAATCAATTTTACTAGGTGAGAAAATGTGTACGCCTATGTGCACGAATGTGTATTATTAGAGAGCATTAAATGAGTCCAGACTAACAAGAAAAGAAAGCCGAATAAACATCTCTCAAATGAATAAATATAATTTTGCCTGTTTGTGTATAGTCGTATGAAACTAAACTTATGCAGAATTCAGGCCTGCTGCTCCTCGTTGCCCGAAGCGGATGTGTGCCAAACGTGACCCGTTTCGAGAGCTTGCAAAGTAAGCATCTCCTTTTGACTGTCCTTGGCCTGCAGCAGAAAAACACTTTGCTGGAAAAGATTACAGAAATTAGCATACAGAATAAATAAATATATTATGTAGTACTCACTTTAACCGCCTTGCTGGTCAGCATATCCATTTTGTCATAGATGATGGCATGCAGCCCCAATTCCTTAAGCAGCTTGATGGTATCTTTTGAGTTATTGTCATCGCCCCAGCAGAAAAGCACGAGACCACGCTCCTTGGCCAGATTAACCTAGAACGTCCGTTTTATGTGAAAGTCCCAACAATGCCGAATGCGGCTTCAGTTTACCTGGCTGGGATCACGTAACAAATCCTCCGTGTGTGCCACAATTCCTAGTAGCTGCATGGCCACCGCATGCCACACGGCCGTCTCCATTGAATTGCCACGCGGATCCATATACTGTGTGTATTTCGTACTCCGACCGATCGTCAAAAACATGACAGGATAACGATTCTGTTTATAGCGCAGCATGGTGCATATGTCCGGATCGAAGCAGCTGAACACAATGCGCCGGTTGCCCGCCTTGCGCAGCACCACATCCAGAATGCAATCGAGATAGAGATTGCGATCGACCACATGCTCACACTCCTCCTCCATGCGCCCATCCTGCAGTCTCTGCGACCATTTAATCTCGATGTTGAAGCCAATATGCACATCGAGCGCATCCAGAACATCCGCCAGTTGTGGAAATGGCTGATGCTCGAGCATATCATCGTTGTGAAAGGAGCGCGTTTCACGGGACAGTCCCTCGGCTGTATGATAGACCTTGAGTTTCTTTAGCTGCTCCAGCGTCAGTTCCCGCATGGGTAGCGACAGGAAGTCGTGCTCCTGCATGCTACACTTGCTTTTCAGCGACACATATATCATGAAATCATGATAGACAACCGGCACAAGATCCTTGCTTAGTTGCACATCAAACTCAACCATGTCGGCGCCATGATCGGCGGCATTCTTTAGCGAGGTGATTGTGTTCTCCCTGATGACTGTATCCTTGGCCTTGAAGTAGTTTAATTTTTATAGTAACTTCAAGCTCTTAATTGCTGTAGATAAAATTTGAATTTAATTTTAGATTCTTTTCCGAAAATAAACAAACAAACCAATTACCATTTGCAAGATATTGAATGTCATTACGAATTTCGATTATTAAATGGGAAGATACCAATTCCAACCAGATACTATTATGGATTAAAATCCTTCGATATACTGATGCATGCAGATGGCAAGAATATTTTAATTTTTAATATAATCTAAATTCTTTTTCTATATATATTCTTATTAACACTGACATGATATACAATTTAAATTTCAATATGACAAAAGTTTTTAACTCTAGCTTTTTCTCTCTCTCTCTCAATATACATATATATATATAAATGTTTAAAAGTGTCAGGTGAACAACAACTACTTATAGCTTATATAATGAACTAATTAACATTCACTTGACATAATACGTAAATTAAACCAATTCCACAAAAATATGAATGTTGTAAATTTTGAATTAAAAATTCAATTGTGTTCCAAAAGTATAAAATATTGCTGTGGAATAAATTCGAAAATAGAATTCAGAAAATTGAGTTCATTGAGTTCATTGAACTTCAAATGACTTATTGACTGTAGATGAAGCCAGATCTATCTTAATTTTCACAGCTATACAGAATAGATCACTTGTTTCTTGAATTCTGCCTCAGCACTCCAATTCTTCTGAACTTTACTCTCAAAACTGCGAAACCTCAATGGAATAATCTGTTCAAAAATACCTTAGGTTCATCAAATTGTACATATATGTATGTATATTATGTATTTCATCAGAAGAATGACACAAACGGACTATAAAAAAGAATTCTTCATATGAATATCTAGTATTGATATTTTTGGAAGAGTTGATAAAAATATTATCGATATTAAAGAATTACAAACAAAATACATATTCACAATAGTACATATTATCTATATCAAACGTACCTTAAAGCTGGTGCCTGAACCGCGATGTCCCACATCGAGACCGGTCCACTTGCTGTTCCAATAACGCGCATAGCTCACACGCATATCCATGTGTGCGCTGTGGGAGGATGGTCTAACAATTAGATAGCCCACTCGCATCATGCCCAAAGGTCGATGACCCTTGGCACAGGTAATTGGTAGCTCGAGATTGCCCTCGGAGCGCTTGAACAGGTTGGGCAGCACATAATGATAGCCCAAATGCAAGGGTGGTCCATCTTCTACGGCAACTCTAGAGCTATAGCTGTACAGATCCACTAGATAAGCCGTATTATCCAGATCGCCAACGGTCAAATGAAAGATGACCAAATCGCTGGTGCCGCATGCGGAGCCAAACTGTTCCTGGGCGCGCACCTCGCACTCCTCAGCGCTTAAGGTGACCACCTCGTTAAAACCAAAGGCCGTATCGCCGCCATTTTCACGGGTGTCATGAGTATCATTCGATAGGGAATCCTCGAGCGTTGAAACAGGCGCAAGATCGGCACAGCTGGCGCTGGGTATACGTAGATTCATCGGTGTCACCTTGACGTACACCAAACGACGCTTCATGCGCTGCTTCCAAGTGAATGGGGCATAAAAGAACTTAAGCTGCACCAGTGCCTCTTTGGTCAGCCAGCCACGATCGACTTTTCGCTTGCCCTGCACACAACCGAATGTGTCTTGGCACTGCACGGGCTGCTCATCCAGCTCGGCAATGCTCCTGGGTTGCAGTTGCACCTCCCAGCGGCGCACCAGCAGCTGCTCCGTGACGGTATCCACAGCACAAACCATATAGCGATACTCAGTCGCACAGTGCATGGGTATATATACCTGAGCAGTCCAAATGTGAGCACCCTCCTCATCCCCATCATCTTCGTCCTGCTCTTCCTCGCGACTCATTAGCGCTGCTCCGCTGTGCTTCCAGCTGCCCAGCGCCTCGCAGCTGCCGACAATTGCCAGCTGCTCGCCACCAGTCAGCTCTTCATTCATCAGCACTCGAAATGTCCACAAGCGATTGGCGCTAATGTCGCCATAGATCCTTTTCGTTGCGTCTGCATCGGCAACTGGGCTAACCAAGGGCGCTGCCATTGCATCCTCCTCACCGTCAAATACTGGAAGCCAACGTTCCATTTTCAATTGAGATCTCAAGTCGACGTAAAACGAAAAAACAACTTTCACCGCACAGCAAATTTGCTATTTGGGTGGGGCAAGGACAGGGCAAAGTTCTTGCTGCCTGTTTTTGATGTCGTCAAAGTTCCAAGCACATTTTTACTCGAAAGTGCAAAGAAAACCAAACCAGACACAAAGACTCAAACGATAATTGACGACGTCGGAGATGAAGAAGAAGATGAAGTCTCGGCAGATTATCCGTTATCGAGCTGTAGTTTTCTTGTTGATATTCTTGTTTTTGTTTGGTTTACGGTGCTGCTGCCAATGACCAGCTGTTTTGATTATATATGTATTTTATATACGGATGTCGATTTACTTTGACATGTGTTTTCTACTCATTTGCACGTAATTTATTGTGTATTTAACAAGTTTATTGCGAATTAGAGTTGTTAACGCCGGAGAGAGGCCGAGAGTTTGCATGCATCAAAAAAAATTTCCTTGGCATGCATAGCTTAATAATATGAAGGTTGCGATGCTCACATTCTCACCTAATAATGAGGTTAACTTATGCTCTTAAGCTTTCAAATATTTTAATGATAATAAGAGTAATAATCTTAATAGCCTCTTAAGCATATTTATCATGTCTAAAGCAATTTATTTACAATAAGCACATCAGGTTAGCAAGAGAGAATATCTTGCGTACGTCACATATGATCAATAACATAGATATTCACAACCTCTTACGTTTCAGGTCTCTGTGACTGTCATTTTGCGCAGCGTTGCCACTCCGCAGCGACCGTTGTGCATAGCAACCAGCTTTCGACAGCAGTGATTTTATTTTGGCGGGAACCTTGGGTACTTGTTTATTGTTTATAATTTGCGTGTTGGCAATTTGCTGTGCTCTCAAAATGGATCAATATCCTGATGAGAATGAAGAGTTTGAACTGCAGTACCAGGATGAGCTGGAGCTGCTCGAGGATGTACCGCAAGAGTACGACAATGTGGTCGTCGATGGACCCAGCACATCGCGTCAAGCAGCAGCAGCACTCAAACAACAACGACAACAAGGAGGAACTCCTACAGGGACTGTTGCTACAGCTGCCATTCAGGATGTGTCGCGCTTTAGCAACTCTACGCTCAGCTCGCCGCACCTGTCACAGATCACATTTGGCGCCAGTCAAACCGATGCTGGTGGAGGAGGACCAGTCAACCGACGACTTTTTGGCACACCCCGTGGACCAACAGTGGGTCGTGGTTGCTCCACTCCCCTGCAGCGACTGCCCGGCATACAGGAGACAGCAATGGACACTGCCGCACCGCTTCCAAATTCCGCCTCCGAGCAGCTACAAGAAGTGGGACTCCGTGGCAACAATAAGCGGCGACTTGAACGGGATCTCTTTGGTGACATTGACGATCTCTACCATGAGAGCTATGAAGATCCCCTACTGAAAAAGGCACGTACCGAGGAGCAGCGCGATAACGAGGCCATCGAACGTATTCTTGAACTGAGGCGCAAACTGCGTGAAACCGGCAAAACCGTGCCTCACGATGAAGTCTCCCGACTGCGTGCGCTTCACGACTTCAAGATGAAGAATCTATCGTATCAAATACCGACGTGGCCATTTCTGGCTCTGCAGCGCAGCGATCTCGAGCGTCTTTATGTGCGCTACCACTCGGAAGATTACGAACGTCGTCAGCTGGAGCTGCTCAGTGTGCGAGGCAATCAGGTCGGCAGCCTGCTCGGCGAAGCCAAGCAGCAGGTGTGGCAGGATGCCAATGAGCTGGTGAGTTGAGAGTAACTAGAAGTGTAGCGAAGCTCACATCAGGTTATATATTCCATTCCCTACTAGGTGCTGCGTCGCCTGACATCTGCCACTCAGCCTGTCTGCGCTGCACCTGCCCCACCCAGTCCCGATATGGGACGCCTTTGGGTGGACAAGTATAAGCCGCGCAAATACATTGATTTACTATCGGATGAGATGACGAATCGTAGTCTGCTCTACTGGCTCAAGATGTGGGACAAAGTGGTCTTTGGCAAGACATTCCAGAGCAAGCAGGAGCAAAAGGGAGCGAATACAGGAGGAGCAGGTGGACAGCAGCTAAACAGTTTCAATAAGCGCACTGGAAAATTTGAATCAAACGGCGGCTGGCGACAAAGGAAGCAGCGTCAGGCACTCAACACCAATGTGGATGAACTGGGCAGACCTATGCAAAAGGTGGCGCTGCTCTGCGGACCTCCTGGTCTGGGCAAAACGACGCTAGCGCACACAATTGCCCGGCATGCTGGATATAATGTGAGGGAGATTAATGCCTCCGATGATCGCAGTCCGGAGGCTTTTAAGCTGGCCCTAGAGAATGGCACACAAATGTCATCGGTGTTGAATCAGGATAAGCGACCGAATTGCATCGTACTGGGTGAGCAGAGAGAATTACTAATATTCTTCAGATTTGTAATCCGTGCCAATACTTTGCAGATGAAATCGATGGCGCCCCGCGTCAATCCATCGAGTATCTCGTCAAGTTTGTTAGCGATGGCATCTATAGCAAGGTCAAGTCCAAGGGCGCCAAGGCAGAGCATAATGTGCTGCGGCGCCCCATTATCTGCATCTGCAATGATATTTATGATCCCGCCCTGCGATCCCTGCGCCAAATTGCCTTTGTCGTCAGCTTTCCGCCCATCGATGCAGCGCGTCTGGCCGAACGGTAAACTTTTAATATTCATTTTGGTTAACAGCTAATTGAAATTTGTTTTATATTTAGGCTGTTGCAAATTTCGCACAAGGAGCATTTGAAAACGGACTTTGGCTCGCTTATTGCTCTGGCCGAGAAGTCGGGCAATGATGTCCGCAGCTGCATCTCATCCATGCAGTTTTTCAGGTAACTGAAATAATATATTTAAATAATATAATCTATCATTGTTTTATTTTTATAAACTCTTCTTTTGTATTTATGCAGCGCTCAGAAGCAGAGTCTAACGCTCCAGGATGTGCTGAACAATAATTTGGGTCAGAAGGATCGACACCAAGGTCTGTTTGATGTTTGGGGCGCTGTTTTCAGAGTGAGTTTCTAAATAATTGTTAGGAAGCTAGTCGAATATGCCCAGCAGCATCTTTTAAAATATAGATTAAAATAAACTATATAAAACTTAAATCTTAAAAAATTTGTGCAAATATTTCGATCCGAACTAAATCAATCAGTATTATTAGTACATTTGAATTAGAAATCTCTCTCACAGAGAGAGGCGGAAGAGTCACTACAATAATTATATGCAAATATCTATATTCAAAAGATTTGTATCCCTTATACAGATAAAACGTCCAAAGAGACAGCTGCAGCAAATCAACTCAAACAATAGCGAGGAGCCCGCCCAAGTGACCATGACGAACATGTCTGTGGGGACCCGAGTGCGCAATGTGCTCGATGTGGTGCATTCCAGCGGTGATTACGAGCGGTATGTCTAAGGTCTTTTTAACTACAAGGCGTACAAATATTAATGATTAATTTTATTCATTAGACTCACGCAAGGCGTCTACGAGAACTATTTGCAGCAAAAGATGCCAGATCCAAACTTTACGGGCATTTGTGAGGCGATGCAATGGTTCTGTTTCTCGGACATGGTGCAGCACCAAATCGGACGACAGCAGAACTACAGCATCTATCCATATTTGCAGTACGGCTTTGTGGTCTGGCATTTGCTCTTTGCCACATTGGCCTGGCCGAAAATTGCATTTCCCACGCGTGGCTTTGAGGTAAGCAAACGGCAAGCATAACGGCAACGGCGAGGACGACAACGATGGCCCCAGGCCGCATCATTTCTTTTCATTTAACATGTGAAAGCAGTGGATTCTTTTGAGCCTAACTCATGTATTATGCAATCCTCATTAGCTAGGGCAAACAGACCCAAACAGACCCCCAGCAAGGGGCAACAGAAAAGTGCATAATCAACACAATCAAGCCATGTAATTTCTTGTGCATTATGTGCCTCAAATGCAATCACAAGATTAATAAGAGTTCTGCATAGATTCCGCACTGCTTACACTAAACTCCAACCACCATACACTCATACTCTCTTTCATATTTATCCAGTTCAATCAGAAGTGTACGAACCAGCTGAACATCTTTCAGTCACTGCGCAAGGGTGTCACTACATCGGCACAGGGCGTCGGTCAAGGCACCATCCTGCTGCTGGACACGGTGCCACTGCTGAAGCGGATCCTCTCCCCACAATTGCGCTCGGTGGCTATTCAACTGCTATCACAAAAGTGAGTGCACTATAGCCTCCACAAAGCTACTCAGATAATTGCAAATATCTACTCATTTAGAGAGCAATATGATCTGCGTCATACGATTCAAGTGATGGTTGATCTGGGCTTGACGTTTGTGCAGGTTAAATCCGCTGAGGGTCATTATGTTTTTCAAACCGAACCGGACTTGGATACGCTCTGTGCATTCCCAGGTAACGCCAATTCCCCATTCTACACAGCTAATAATCTACATATAAATATATATATATTTAACAGGTTTTGCTGGTCTCACCCTGCCCTATTTCAGTCGCCAGCTGATAGCACGTGAGGTGGATCTGGAGCGCATACGACGTGCCGCACCCAAAGGGGATGCTACAAAGAGCACAATTGCTTCAGTGACTGTCTCGGCGAAGAAACCGGAGGCAGCTCGCCTGCCGAATCATTTGCAAACATTGAAGCCAAAACAAGTAACGGACTTCAGTTCGCGCAGTGGACCCAAACAGCAAGTGAGCTGCATGCCTTTTCCATATTTCTATCAATTTGCATGTCTTGCATTTACTTAGCAGCAATTTTGTTGCAAATTTGTGGTGCAGCTTATTTGAGCTTATTGCGCTTTGTCAGAATTGCCCGAACCACCCAGCGACCGGTCTTGAACTTTAGTTGGTCTTTTTAGCTGCGTTTTTCTTGCTTCAGCGGCGCAAATCCTGTACAAGCTAATAACCCATAAGGGGATTCGGTGCCCATTGTCTTTAGGGTCGTAATGTGGGATCAGGGCAAACGAACATTTATTGCCAATCCTAAACGAAAGCGACTGGCGAACAACAACAACCACAGAAATATGCTTTTCCTTGTGGTTGCACATTTATTTAAGGGTTGTTTCCCTTGTATTCGCAGCCCTCAAACTTTACATAAAGCTTTTTTGTGCAAATGTTTATAAATGTATTTGTTTTATATATATTATGTTGTATTACATTAGTTACTGTCTCTCAATTAAACAATTATTTAATTTAATTTTATTTGGTCGTATTACAGCTTACAAAGGATTTCTTTGGTCGCGTAACTCATAAGACAACAGCAGCAACTGCTATGGATGAGGGTAAGACCAGAGTTTATTATGCTACATTAATATTTTAATTCAACTCAAAATGTTTTTTTTAGTTAAAACAGATGCAATTGTCAAGAGTCCAATCTGGTATCGCTATAAGGAGGGCTTCAACAATGCAGTCAGAAAGGACGTACACCTAAATGAACTACTCTAAAGTAAAAACCTAATTATTGCTATTTTTTTTATACTAAGTTGCTAATAATTAAAATATATTTATTGTAAAAAAAACTAAGAAACTACAAAAAAATACTAAATATGTCGAAATCAAAAAGCATCCCTGAAAAAACACTAACAATTTGGATGTTCTTTGAGCAGTTGGCACGCTTAATCAAAGCACAATGTTTAACAGAGAACTTATCATGATCAGCAAGTTAAGAGGAGTTTTCAGTTTAAAAAAAAAGTTTTGTTAATTTAGCTGGTTTAATTATTTTCATTCTTTGAATAGCCAGTCAAAAGTCTTTCTTTGGCTTTGGGAACTTTTTCTTTTCTACTCATTACTTTAAGGATTTATGAACTAACTCTCTATCATCTAAAAAGACAAACAATTTTACAAACAGGGCGAAGGGAAATGAGTATTAGAAAATAGTTTTATTATCTTGATCATCTGGGATCCATTTATTCCATGAATTTACGCATCGTTTAAGGCCCTTAATTTTATTATTTTTAAGTGTCAATAAAATCGGCTTATATCGTTAGCTGAACAGTGCTTCAGTAAACCATTAGCTTGGGCAATTTTAACTTTTATTAAGGATCAGATATGTAATTCCATTCTTAAACTAACTGACTTGGTAAGTATTTGCCAATATAATCAATAACCTATATATATTCTAAATAAGTAATGAATATCCTTTTGATTATTAACCTTGAATTTCTTAAAGGGAATCAAGAGCTTTAGCTAATCTTATCATTCAGTTAAAGGTGTACATAAAAAATGTCTCATTGGGAGAACTTTGCTCGGATTCATTTGCTATCGCTTTCGTTCCGCTCGGGAGCTGTGAGATCTGTGGCACTCATTGTAGGCCAAACCGAGCTTAGAAGCGGCCTCTTTTCTCGCTAAGCTGACGTATGGGGCTGCTTATCGCATCCGTTTAGCTATCAGCAAGTTGTGTATCTGTGTGTGTTGGCTGTGCGGGTGTGTGGGTGAGTGTGTGTGCGTGTGTGTGTGTGTGTGTGTATCTGTATGAGATGTTGTCGCTGCCGACATTGACGTTGCTCTGGTCTCACTCACTCTCATTCAGTTGCCTGCGGGTGGTGTTGGGCGCAAGTATAGTACTATCAAAGACAGCGAGGCCAGATGTCACCGTTAAAGCCAATGTTTTGGTTGTTGTTGTTGCTGGTGCTGCTACTAGGCTGCATCAACATTGAGACGCGCTATGTGCCCGGCATACCACGTGAGTCGAGAAGAGGAATCGCAGAGATAATAGGTGCCAGTGCCATCACTAATTATTGTATTCTATTTCGATAGATTTTTGCCTCAAACCGAGGCCGGTCTCTATCGGCATCTGCACCATCGAAATCGAGGGCTTCTACTACGATCCGGCCACACTTGACTGCGAGAGGTACTCCATAAGCGCCTGCCACCTGACGCCCGGCCAAAGCTTTGGCAGCCAGCAGGACTGTGTTGCGACCTGTGTGCGGGGTCAGCGTCGCAGTCCCGATTACTATAGGAATGAATGAGACGATCTGTGTCTACTTTATTTAAAAAATAAAGAAAAAAATAAAAACAAAAACTGCGTCTGATTTAAATCGAGCTGCAGCGTTAATCACCGCTCTGTCTTGTGACGTAATTGTTTATTTCCAAATGGTCATCTGTGGCGACACTTGTTTGACTTCGTGTGTGTGGCATGTTTCACAGTCACAGCCTAATTAACTACAATATATATGCATAGTTGCACATTAAGTACAAAGTTAGCTCAAAATATATTTGATAAGGCAGGAATGAATCGCTCAGCTGATTGTAAGTGATTGACACAATTCAAAATGTAACAATATTATAATTTGTACGTCTATTTTCTTTTAACTAAAATAATAGATATTATTATTATATTATAGATAAATTTAAATATTGTTATTGCTTCGGCAAAGTGTGATCACTTTAGATAGATAGACTGGTTAGGGCATTCAAATGTCGTTGTTTGATAATTGCATTGATTAAAGTCCTATATAGATCGGCCTTCTGCAACAGGCGCTCGCCAGTTTATGCTGGAATACCATGCCCCAAACATCACTTTCCATAGCATCTCATCTCAGCTCGCAAGCATCATGTATATTATCAACATTGTGCATGCAGTGGTTGTTATGGTCCTTATCAGTCAACAGCTGCGTCAGCAGCGGCTATTGGCAGAACAGATTACGAATATGTGTGGAGCGTATTGCCTTTTGTTCGATGTTTCGAGACGAGCTTGCGACAGCTCAAACAGCAGAGTAATAACTTAGCCAGTGACAAAAAGTGTCTCAACAACTCAACAAATCAACACAGATTTCAGTTGAGTATTGATAGTCCGATACCTACATCTAGGTGACCAGAATCGCTCGTTATATATTAATCTGTGAGTGAGCAACAAAAGATTTGGAAAATTTTTGGACTGGTCTAGTCTGGTTTACTGAACTTTTGTCCAGTATTAAAAAACTCATAAATTGCACAAGACGACAGCAGATCGGTATACTATATAGTATAGCATTGACAATTATAATTACTATATGCATACATACAGACATACATACACACACACACACACACACACACACACACACATACATACATACATATAAATGGCGAGAAGCAGCTGCCAGTGCTGCGCATTTGTCTTCAACTTCGTCGCAGCAACAGTCGTCAGTGATTCTATGAAAATACAGATGATATCTGTGCCAGCCACAGTACAAAGCTGAATTTTGACACGAGCTGGTGAATACATATATAAGCAAATTCTGTGTCAATTAAGGGAAGAAAAAAACTTAGCAGAAATGAGTGCACAACGTAGAAGAATACAAATCTGGATATGTCTCCTCGTTGCTTTGTGTCTGGAGTGGCAATTAGTTGTGGCACGAGCACGTAAGTCCTAACAGGTTTATCTCCTATTTTTCTAGTGGATTAATCACATTGCTTGTTGCAGGTGATCTGTGCCAGGTGAAGCCCAGCACAAGCAGCCTGTGTGTGCCAACTACAGTGGGCATTTACTATAATGTGGAGACACAACACTGTCACTACATGGGCTGCAGCAATAAGCGATTGTTTGGCTCTCTCGAGGATTGTGAGAAGATCTGCAATAATCGACGACACACGAAGATACGCACTAATTTGACCAACAAAATCAATCAAACCACTAATTGAATATAAGCACTTAGAATATCTGATCTAGTTGTAGTTGTAGTTCTTATTGTCACATCATACATACATCATGCATTATGAGCTTTAAATATCACGGCAATTGTACTCGCACTCGGCCTTGCTGTCAAATCGATTCTCATTGCCACCGCAGCCACCATAGATGAAGGATTCACAGCGCCGCTGGAGCGGATTATAGGCATAGCTCTCCACATGGCCAAAACAACGACCGCTGACCATTGGCTGCAGACACAGCTTAACTGCAATAATAACACATTAGTCTACGACTAAAGCGCATGCTCAGAAAGTATCTTACCACGTTTGGAGGCACCGTCGACCAGTAGCAGCATGAGCATCATCAGTTGCAGCATCAGCCATTGCCAACACATTTTGGATGATATAAGCCGTACTCAACCGTCTAGTTCTTTGGACAGCAAATCACTAAACACGCTGTCAGTCAATTATTTGTTGTTGAGCAAATGTTTCTTTTTTCTCTAGCCAAGATTCAACATTGACCAAGTTAGCTAGCTGCTAAATCTCTTGGCCATTTCGACAGCTGTATCATCTACTTCATTACGAAATACATTTAAACTGTAGATTATCTATTTATTTTATGTAATAACAACTAAATTAGATTTATAAAGGTTCAAATATATACATATATATATATATTTCTTTCAATAAAAAGTCGTAGTTAATTTAATTTAATTTTTAATGGCCTTACAGATTCAAAACATGTATTTCAATAATTTCAGAATATGTATTTACTTTTACTTTTGCGTGTTTCATCTACGAAAATTTATTGCATTTGAATTCATTATCAATTTCCAATTTTTCGCAAATATTTTCGTTTATTGCTGTTTATTGGCATTAATATATATTCCTGCCCTAATAGTTTTCAAGAATTAATATTCAATCAAATTGACATTTGGCACTGAGTTCACGAGTTCGTTAATTATCATCTGCTAATACTGATTAAAATAATTTGTACATATATAATTTCATATATATTTTCAGTAACAAATTAAATGTAAAATTGTGAAATATATCAAAACACAAAATAAATAAAAAAAGAGCCAATATGTGCACCAAAATACTAAGTATTAATGCTTATACATAGGAAATGAATTTAGTGGTTGTTTATAAAGTGGTAGCAGCCAAATAAAACTATAGAACTTGATTCAAAAATGTTTGATGGATCATATTCTGTATGCTGACTTCTGATAGGCCTTACTGTTCCCATCGATACCCTACACACTCACAACACTTATAATAAACGGCGTCGGCGTTCACATGAAATGACGTAAAACTTTGCACTGCCAACAAAAACATGTTCCGCATATCAATGACAACAGCAACACCAACAGCAAAAGGCAAATTGAAGTTGATTTGGCTTGGGTATTTCCAATACAAGTGCAAAAAAGAAAAATACACTGAAGCGGCGAGCGAGCTCTCAGTTTCAACTGAAGTTGTTTACGCACCGTATTATGCACATACATACATACATCCATAAATATGTTAATCGAAATACACATAGCGATACACTTGAGTCGGTTCACTAAGTTATTCATTTGGAGCCCACAGGCGAATGCGAATGTGAGTCTGTTTGAGTCTGTTCCAGTCTGTACGAGTCTGTTCGAGTCTGGTCGAGTCTGTACGAGTCTGTTCGAGTCTATTTGAATCGGTTCGGCTGCATCTCTCAATTGCGGACTAATTTAGTAATTAAACGCAGTTTTGGATGACGAGTGGCACAATTAATGGGTCTCGCCTCGGCAGCATTTCAATTATTTCAAGCAAATTAAACAGTTAACTGAATTGTCACCACATTACACACTCACACAGACACACACACTTGTCATTTCAAGCATTCAATCAGCCAAATTTGCGTGCCACCCACACTCAATATGGGTGCAGAGGCATGTGTGTATAACTAATGAATAAATAGCACGTCTACTAGGTGCACAAGTAATCCTCATCATCGTCATTATGATGATTATCAGCTACGTTAAGTGATAATTCAATTTACTCTGTGCATTAACACCTAACTAACGTTTTTGCCCAGCCATAGCCCGTTAGCCACGTTTACATCTTTGGCCTTCATAATATTAGCTCTAATTATCACTTAAGCCTTAGTCACTACCTTGTCTCCGTTTCTAATTACTAATGCAATTTTAATGAACCACCAAAGTGTAAAACATATTCAAGCACTTTTCCTTACTTATACATAGCAATCATTGTATTTGTTATGCAAAGTGCTGCACTTCCAGGAAACTCTGGGATCGGTTGACAAAATATATTTGTTATTTATTTATAAATTATTTTTCTGGCTCTTTAAATATGCAGAAACTTATATATGCTTGTCAAATGTTTACTGCGTCATAGAATGTTAACTTTTGTTGACCAACAAAATCTATTGAAAATTTATTTGTTAGTAGACAAATAATTACAGCACAGCGATGTATAAGAACAAGTTGTTGGCTATTTGCATACCCTGTAATCGTATATACTGTGTACTGAGCTTTACCAGACTTACAGACATCTTCCATCTACAAGTCTCTAAATATATAAAACCAATAACTTTATTATTTATTAATTATGTTTAAAAATGGCTAAACATTTTTATCAGTAGGTATTTTATATCACATCGTAGTATTAAATTCGTTTTTTTTAAGGAACGACCATTGCTCAATTTTTGGCTTGAGCTCATGTAGGGTATTCAAATGCTTTACATCTGAAACTTGACACACTGATGGCTGTTGACAGTCTGGCTTTGTCTCTTTACATACCGTTATGTGTTTATGTCTACACAATCATGTGTGTTTAAGTAAAACAAACAAAAACAAAATATATATATATGTATATTATTTTAAAAATATATGTATATATATATTCATGCATACATATATGTAAATCTGATAATTAAGCTCGCTCGTGCTTAGCGCTTCGTGTGCGCAATTTGACTTAAACGCCTCGCTTAACACACACAGATACACACACACACACAAATACACAGATCATATGCATAAATGTATGTGCGTATATAGTTTTTTCTTTTATTTCAAAGATTCAGTTGTCGTTTGCAGTTATTAACGTGCAGTAATCAGTGATCACATTGAAAATGAAAGGAATGAAGATAATGACCCAATTTTGTTGCATTGTGGTGATTCTTTTGATCTGTCTAACACAATTTACGGGGGCAGAGACAACGCCCAAACCTAAGGCGGTGACACAGGCAGCTCAGGTGACCACAACTACAACCACAGTGCGGCCCAGTCTCAAGCAGCAGCAAGCTCAACCACAACAACAGCAGAAGAAGCAAGGTACAAATAATAATTCATTTGAGTTGCCTGTCGCAAGTTACAATATTTCAATATTACCTACAGATCCGAAATGCCTGCAGCCATTGGAAACGGGACCCTGTCGCATGAAACTGGAGCGTTATTACTACAACAAGGATAAGAATGCGTGTGAGACATTCAATTTTGGCGGCTGTCGAGGCAATGACAATCGCTGGGGCTTTCGTCAGACTTGTGAGGATGCATGTCTTCTTGTCAAGAAATGAGTCCATGACGATCCCAACTCAATGGCCATTCTCTAAGTAAAGAACTTGAGCAAATAAAATCAATCTTTGAAAGTGTGAATTATGCGTCAACTCTCAAGATGTGCCAATTATTAGATTATATAGTCAACTCATGATTTAAATTGTGTTTGTTTAGATAATTCTCTGAGAGTGGGTAACTTAATTTGAGAGTCAGTAACATTACTCTCATCGTAAGCGTATTATTATATCCAAGATCCCCTTTCAAATCTATCTATAGATAGAAAGATGTTAGTTATTTTACAATGCAACAAAAGGATTACATCAGCTCATTGTCAAACTCGGACCTTTTGTAAATTGCTGTAAAATTTTTAAAAATACTATTTTTTTGGAGAGTCCATTCACATGGGGGAATCACGTTTAAGTGCATTTACCGAAGTCATGTGAAACATCCATCAATTCATTTTAAAAACTATTTATTTCACACGCTGTCGCTATAAGCTCACTCAGTAGTTCACTTAAATATGAATAGTTCTCTAGATTTGCATTAATTAGCACAACTTGGGTTTACATCTAATTCCTTATGGTGATTCAATTGGTAAAATGAGATTTAGTAAAGGTTTTGAATCAGAGCCCAATAATCGATATTTACATACATATGTATATAAAGCTAAAGTCTTTCCGATTGTGTTTAAATTCTAATCCACAACAATCTAATCAAAACATTTTCAGAGCAACATGACGACTTTCTAGGCAAAAAAATAAATGGCAAAAATAATTAAAAAATGCGCCGTACAGATAAAATACAATTTTGCACCAGGGTATGAGAGTAGGTAAGTATGGATTCATATGCGAAACAACTCTCTCCAACGCAGCTTGCATTCAAATATTCCGATATCAAAGACCACACCCACCACTGCTGCCCCTAGCCACGACGTTATTGTGTAGATTAGAGTAGAATTTTTAATACTGTTAAGTTATTCGAATTTCGGATTTTATATATATTTTCCCAGAATCGAATTATTTGATATGTGATTGAAATAATGCTGGGGAGAAGGTCGTCACGTTCATTTTTGATAATATCAAAAAGTTAGTCAAAATACGTGGTGGAAGTACGAACATATGTGCGGAAATAAACCCATTTATGATTTAGCCGAGTTAAACCATCATAACGCATAGCATTATTAATAGGTGCGTTGAACTGAAACTGAGGCATTGGACGTCAACCAATTGTCAACGATTTGTCGAGCGACGTAAAGCGACAGGTTGCCGTGATTTACATACGCCGGCGAATGACTCAAGCAAATACAAAATCAGACAAAAAAAACAACAACAAAAAAACAATGCGGATGCTCATTTATTTTATCATTTCGTGGCGCACTGTTTGACTATTTAAGCGTGGCCAAGTGACATAGTTGGAGTCATTCGCATTAAAGAAACCGAAACGAAATGAGCTACAAACTGGGCCTGATTGCACTAAGTGTACTGATATGCGCTCTGTGCGTGCACAGTGCCGCAATGGATCAGTCTCAACTGGTGGTGGAGAAGCAGCAAGAAGATGGCCAGACAACTGGGAAAATGGATACCACCAATGTGCCGGAGGAGTGCCATCAGCCAAAGGAGACGGGTCGCTGCTTTGCGCTCTTCTATCGCTACGCCTACAATCTGGACACGCACTCCTGCGAGGAGTTCGTTTACGGCGGCTGTGCCGGCAATAGCAACAATTTTGAGACCAAAGAGCAATGCGAACAGGTCTGCCTAGGCAAATCAGCATCCGCCACAGAGCAGAGCACCGAGCTGACTACAGAGCAAGTGCAACAAGCAGCAGAGACGACGCCAAGCAGCACCAGCAGTTAATCTCATTTGGCATTGTGGGAAGAACCTGGACAGGGTACACCTTGTTTATAATTACTAACACTTGAAATCATTGTAATCACTCTCCCACTATGTAAAGTGCACAGCTCCATGGGCGGACGGCCCAAATGGGGATTATTAAAAACTTATTTCCGTTGCCAATATAGTATATATAATAAATAAATGTTGACCTATTTTTATCACTACAAAAAAGCTTGTTCTTCCTTTACTTTATAAACATATTTCGGAAAATTACTTGCGAAAATATTAAAGTATCAGCACTATTTATAGCACTCGATTATTGCCGCCCATTTATAAAATGTTTCGCAAGCAATTGTTAATGAACTTTAACGTGATCTATACACACACAAGCAGAGAATCATATTGACAAATGTTTCGTAGAGATTCGTATAAAGCATCGAGTAAATCGGGCTTTCAGTTAGTCGCTCAACACAAGCGCTAAAGAAACTACAGCCTGTTCAAAATGAGATTCACAGCGATCATTTGCGTGCTCTTTGCAGTGCTTGGCCTCTCACTGGGTCTCAAGGATCGTAAGCACTAGGATAATAATCAATCAAGGTTCCCCTCTTAACTTTTGACTTATCCTCAGCTGTTTGTGGTTTACCGCCTGCAGCCGATGGAAACGGTGTGATCAGGTGTGCCGCCTTTATTCCAAGCTGGAGCTATAATCCCAGCGATAATTCTTGCAAGGATTTCGTCTATGGCGGCTGCGGAGGCAATGCTAATCGCTTTGGAAGCAAAGAGGAATGCGAGGCCAAGTGCGTGTAGTTCGTATATCAAAGCTGGATCTATGACCTAAATAAATAAATTTGTTGAATAAAACTATGCGAGCTGTCGCTTATTTTAACCTTGAAATGTTCTAGAGGAGATTATTATTAGACGCATATATGTTAATTGCTCTGGCATATATAGATAATGATGTGCATAGGTAGTGTCATAGCTACTTAAGGGAAACCTTCGCATCCGTTGTCGATTTGAAAAACTTATTCTGCTTTTTCTATTTTAGCATTCGATTATATATGTACATTTAATATAAAAATATTTGATTATGGTTGTGATATGTGATTTACATTTCAGACCAAATGTTAAGCAATTATACAAATTTATCGAAAATATTATGAAGATCTTTTGAAAAGATTACTATAAAACTTCATTTATAGTGGTAGCAGCGGGAAAAAATATTCTTATCATGTTTTCATCAATTATTTACGCTTTTGCTACATTTAGAAAAACCCCCATTGGACAATTTGTCAAAATCACTTTGACCGCATTCAAATTGTTTTTGGTAGCTGATGAAATTGGATTCTTGAAATGAAGTCGTTTTTCATTTTTATAGTAGTCATGGCAATTGTTATCAGATCTGTTGCACAGAAAAATCGTGAGTATTATTTGTTGCAATACTCTTAAAATGAATTCACAAATTATTTATTATAAAGCGAAATGCCGTTTGCCACATTCGAAGAATGGAATTTTAAATGGCCCAAATAACCAATGCTTGGATAACATTAGACAATGGTCCTACGACTCAGATAATAAAAAATGTGTTGCATTCACTTATGCAGTCTGCGGTGGAAACAAGAATCGGTTTCCAACACAACAAGAGTGTGAGGATACTTGCCTTGAATAAAACGCGAATGTGAAATACATAATTACATTAAATTATACAAAATTTACATTAACATTAAGCTACAAGGCAACTTTACTTTCAGTTGTAAGGTATACAATGAAAATATGGAAGAAAACATTTAATATTAAGAAACAACTCAACAAAAATGCCTCTATTTAAGTTTATTGCCAAACAGCTAAATTGTGTAATTTAATAAGTTATATATTACAGCAAAAAAATTTATGTAACCTTATTTCCATGAGTCGGTTCGATCTGCAACCTTTTCGATCTATTTGACAACAATATAGTCATTTAATTTATCATCATTTTGAAGTTCATGCTTAATCCTTTCAACCCGTAGGCTGCCAAACGGCAAATGTAACGCCTTTAGTCCTAGATGTACCTATTACTCTGAAAAGAACACATGCAAACCGTTGGCGGATGCGAAAATAAGTGTATTATATATATATATATACATATAGACATGGAATAAATAAATATGAATATAAAGTACAAAACATCTCAATTTGCTCATTATTTTTTTCTCAGAAATGAATTTGTTTACAAAAATCCGCCTGTGATTTCCCGTTGGAGGTTACTTTAACTATATTCTGTGAAAACAAGTTGATTGTTGGGTAATGAAAAAGTAAACAATCAATAAACAAATAGCGGCTAAAATTCACAATTTTGACATTTATTTCCCAAGACTGATCTAAAATCTTTTGAGAGCGACAAGTGCAACTGGGGTGCAAAATAAAGCTGTATTGAACACATTCCCGTTTTGTTTATTTTCCTATAGATATTGTAAATGTATTATTACTTAATATGTTAAATCAATCATATGCTATTTCATAGCTTATCGATCTTAGTTGGGCCTATTTATAATGATTCAGGTAGATTATGTTATTGTATATATAGCTGCATACTAAAGTGAAACCAATTGGATTTTGCTTTTGAAGCAGGTATAATATTTAATCTTACCTTCAAATTTTCGTTTAATAGTAGTGTTTTGGTTTGCTTATAATATGAGGTGAAAATATATATATGTATTATATATGCGAGTGCGACTTATTGACGCTTCAGTCGCAGTTTGTGTTTATATCTGCCTGCTTTGCGCTTACAAATGGTGGGTAGTAAAATGCGAAATACCCTTTCCTGTTTCTAATGCTATTTTTATAAGGTGTGTGTAGTCTGCCCCATTCGGGGAAAGGATTGCGTAGTGACAGATGTTATGTTAACTCTGACTTTCTGAAATATTTGAATTGGAATTATGTTTATATAGTCTAACTGACAACATTAAAGGAGATTCGATAATAGTTAAATAAACTCAATAATAAAGTGTACCCAGAGTTTTGAGTGAGACTGAAAGATAGAATCTACTATCAATTTTCGTAGAGAAGCTTCGAACATGACTCATTTATAGATATTTACCCTTTCATTTACATTCATAGATATTTACCAACACTATTTGCTGTTGAAAACTCCAAATTTGTTGTGTTGTTATTGCAAAGACTCGACACTCTGAGCAGAGCGATACACACAGCTGACCGAACATGTTTAAGAGACGAACTCGACATTTGTTCAGTTCAGTTAGAACTTGTCACTGCGAGAATTCAGTTGTCATTTCACTAAATATAAAACAGCCATAATTATGAAGTTTTTCGTGTTGCTTGTGGTGCTCGCTGCCCTTTTTGTCAGCTGCTTTGCGGCCCCCAAAAATGGTGTGTTGTGATTTTTTGAATGCCTTACATAGAATTATTTATTAAATCTGATATGTTCTTTGCATACAGTGGAGTGCGGTCTGGAGCATTCGCTCAATGGCGATGGACGTATTTCCTGTGAGGCATATATACCCAACTGGACTTTCGACTCTGCAGCCCAAGAATGCGTCCAGTTTATCTATGGCGGCTGTGGAGGGAATGCCAATCGCTTTGAAACCAAAGAAGTCTGTGAGGAGAGATGCCTCAATTGAATTGATTGGAATTTAGACAAAGCTATGTCAAAAGATTTTGCAAGCAGAGAGTCTGCTTAGTTATTGAAGAATAAAAAAAGAATAACATATTTGAATTTTATCAACTTAATTTATCTTAAAGACATTTACATAGAAGGGTATCTCAAACGAAATCATCAATCTATTATAAGCTCAGCTTTTGAGTATATGTTTTATATGTACAACTTTATTTATCTTATTCATCCCGCAAAAACATCACGTTGAGGACAAGATTCATCTAATTCAAGGTCGCTGTTAAATTAAATGTCTAATATTCTGTATCTCATTATGAAGAATTCTCCGAATTATGACCTTATAAGGAACCAGTTCTCAAAGTTTATTACATTTGCATTGCTCGTGATAAATCTCCATCTATTTCTTTGTACTCTTGTTCTGACTGGCAATCAATTTTAGTTCGTTAGGTATATATGTAAAGATTAAACGACTTTGGTTGCGATTACATAAACTAGTCGGTTTATATAGTGATTATCTTTCTTAATAAATATAGTCAAAAGTTCCATGTGGCAGATGTTGTGCGGTTATCAGGGTGGACTTTCTATATGGACCCATAGTGCTCTGCTCTGGTGTCATCTAAGCGGACGTCAGAGCTAATAGATAAGATCAACACTTATTGGCTATATGTAGTTGTCTTTATAAGGCAGCGATATGGCTGCTGCGCTTTATTTCTAAATATGAAATACGCGTTTGTTCAGCTTATAGCAATTGGATTGCTGATGTGCCTCTCCATGGTGCAGGCCAAGCCAGGTGGGTTGACAGATTGGATCAACTTGGAGATGCGACTCTACAGATCTTGCTGGTTCCTTCGCAGGTAGGTGCAATGAGGAGAACTCGAAGAATGGCATGCCTCCGAAGGGAGTTACCTTCATGGCTTATATGCCTAGATGGACTTATGATGCCGCCAAGAATGTCTGTTTTGAGTTTATTTTTGGTGGCTGGGGTGGTAATAATAATAGATTTGACTGCCGAGATGACTGCGAGATGACCTGCAAGGACTAAGTGGAGTGAGCAAATAATCAACGCGCAAAGTTTGTTTTGTACAATAAATTTGTGAAAATTGCACTCTAATATAAAGGTTGTTTTTTTTATTGCAAACAGAGCTCATCTTGACCTACAGATAAGCCAGTTGGTATTTGCCTATATAATGAGCGCCAGAAGGCAGTCTTAAGTTCAGTTGCAATCGAAACAGCGCCCCAAATAGTTGACGTTTTTATTTTATTCGTATTCGACACCTTTAAAAGCCAAACTTAGGATGAAGTATTTCGCCGTTCTCTTGTTGCTCTGCTCACTGTTGGGCGCAACGCTTGCCACCTTGAAGAACCGTATGTTTTTTGAGCACACCTCGCTGCAGAGATTGTGTTTAATTATTTGATCTCATTTAGCTGCCTGCGGCGAGGAGTTTGGTAAAATCGGCAACTGCCGCGCACTGCAAAAGATGTGGAGCTATCGCAGGGACATAAATGAATGCATCAACTTCAACTACGGTGGCTGCCACGGCAACAGCAACCTCTTCAAATCGAAAAGCCTGTGCGAGACGACATGCAAAGTTTAAGCGTTGATAACCGATAACCTGACTTGTTGCTATGTTTAGTGCATTTGATAATTAAAATCATGAAACGCGCAATTGCAATTTCATAATATGATCATTTGTTGTTTTAATTTGTTTCTATGTAGAAAATTGTTTTCTTAAATAATGTTTTGTTGTTATTGGTTCTAGTGATTAGTTTTTAGTGAGATAGTCTACTTATTTGCTATTGTTAATGTCTGTACAATGTCTGATACAAGCATATTTATATACATGCATATGTTGTATTTATGTTTATAAATATTATTATAACTTGGGGTTTATATTTATTCAGAGCTTTATATTTAATACAGAATATATATCCGCTTCATGCGACTTATACTACGCGATTCAAACGACCAAAAGCGACTGACTCTTACTTCATGAAAGTAGCTTTAACATAGCATCGAAGAAGGTATTGATCATAAGGAACTTACAATTACCGTTGCTCGCAGGCAAAAACAGATTAAAACTACAAAACGGGAATGCAAGACAAGCTGCGGTGTGCATAGGCAGTTTGTCTACTTCTTCTCAATGTAGTACTTATGACCGACAGTAACGCGGCCCGTTTCATCTTCACGATCAATTTCCATACCTAGGAAATGCTTCAATTGCCCGCCATCGACTACGTCGAACTCCTGTGATATGCGCTCCTTCACGCAGTACAGATCTTCCTTGCTTGTGCTGGCCACAATAAGATCGTCGACATATACGACTATCAGATCCAGTTAGCTGGATACATACATACCATTTTCTACCGCAAGAGCAATCAGTGATCGTATTGTCGAATATTTGGACACAGGGGAGAACGTTTTATTGTAATTTACGCCATATTGTTGGGCGCATCCTTTGGCCACTAGTCGAGACTTCAAGCGTACTACTTTGCCATGTTCGTCACGCTTCACTGCAAATACCCATTTACAGCCAATTGCCTTCTCTCCCTTCGCTAGATCAACCAACTCCCAAGGTTTGTTTTCTTGTAAACTGTTCATCTCCTTCTGCATCTATGCCCTCCATTCACTGGTTAATCAGAACTCAAGGCTGCATTGACGCCACCAGGTGCAGCTACGTCATTCGATGTGATAACGATCAAAATGTTGTACTGCTTTCGAGGGCGTCCTGGTTGCCCAGTGCGTACTTTCTTTGGCCTTCCAGGACCTCTTTTGCCCGGTGCCTCGCTCGACTCGATTTCCTCGTCGTCACCAATGTCTCCATTTGTAGATATATTTGGCACCTCGCCATCTCGTTCGGAATTTTCGCGATCCTCAGTTTGATCGCCAGTATGAAGACTTACAGGCTCATCTTCGACATTCTTCATGATCAGTGTAACATCATTATTACACAACGAGATTATGTCCTTTACGCTGTCATCTGTCATTTCACCTTCAAGAAATATCGCATCTCTTCAATTACTTTTCGTGAATCGGGATTATACAATCGGTATGCCTTAGCTGTTGCAGAGTAACCAACTAGTACTCTCACCTCACCTCATGCTTCGTGCCATTTCTACTAGCGTACGATTCGCGTGCTCAGCTACACTATTTTGTTGGGGTGTATACGGCACAGTAAGCTGCCTCTTGATGCCGTTGCTCACTAAATATTTTTCGAAAGCGCCGCTTAAATATTCACGACCGTTGTCGCTTCTGAGACATTTTATCTTATGTCCAGTTTGTTTTTCTGTAAACGCCTTATATTATTTGAACTTCTCAAAGATTTCATCGCGAGTTTTCATAAAACACACATGCACAAACCGCGATCTATCGTCAATGAATGTGCCAAAATACCGCGCACCACCTACAGAACATTTTCTCATTGGGCCACAAATGTCTGTGTGTATCAAGTCTAGTGTGCCTTCGGCGCGGGTCTCAGATTTATTTGGAAATCTCTTTACACTTATTTTGCACTTCGCGCATGTTTCACATACATGTTCTTTTAAGTCCGAACACTGCCTGGCCTTCAAGCCGTGCAGTAAATTTTTCTTAATCATTTTATTCAGGCTGACAAAATTTAAATGACCAAGCCGCTTGTGCCATTTCAGTATGTCTATCGTTACACAAATGCGCTGTGGCGCCACTGTCAATACACCACGTGTTCTTTGCAAAACCACCACTACTTGGGTTTCTTGCCGCTGCAAACACTGAGTACGATTTCTTACTCTCTTTATTTTTCTTCCGTTGCTCTTTTTCGGAGCTGTCTTTTGCGCGACAATTTGCAGCAACGTGCCCACGGCGACCACATGTCCAGCAGCCGGCCTGTGTTGCCTTTTTCTGCTGCGCACTTCTACGATTTACTTTACCGTTACATTCGTCTGTATTTCTGTTTGATCGATTGTCTATACGCGTCGAGAACATTTTTGTCTCTCCGTTTGACTCTGTCTGCCCGTCTGCTCTACGCCGTTCACTCTCTTCGAGTAACTTGATTTTTATCACACATAGCGACGGCAACGTGTCATGAGTTTCCATGGCGATCACGAAATTATCGTATCCATTCGACAAACTCGACAACAACAAACACTCTTCGACCATTATAAATCCGATCTCGCTTAGTCTTTCCACTAAGTCTTCAAACTTATGTATGTGTTCTGCCATACTACCCGACTCCACCAATCTTAGCTGTAACAACTGCTTTAGCAAAGTTACTCGACGCGCAGGTCCCATTGGCATGTGAATTTATTTCAGAATTTCCGCACACATACTGCCATAGTTCTGAATACACGAGTACGCTTTTCATTTGAACGACCCAGGCACTATAATTCTGGTCGTCCAACTTCTCGATCGAACTCATCGAGGTATTCATTTTCTTTAATCACACAGTTATCACACTTGTCCAAGAAAGTCCAGAAAGTCTCATTCAACTTCTACAAGTAATCCTCAGAACAATTCACTATATTTTCTACGATATGAATTTTCCGTGTTCTGCGCCCATAACTTATTATAACTTGGTGTTTATATTTATTCAGAGCTTAGTATTTAATACAGAATATATGTCCGCTTCATGCGACTTATACTACGCGATTTAAGCGATCAAAAGCGACTGACTCTTACTTCACGAAAATAGCTTAAACATAGCATCGAAGAAGGTATTGATCATAAGGAACTTACAATTACCGTTGCTCGCAGGCAACAACAGATTAAGACTACAAAACGGGAATGCAAGACAAGCTGCGGTATACATAGGCAAATACAGTTATTTCCAACATATTTGAATTGGAATTTTGTTTCTATAGTGCAACTGATAGTACATTCATAGTTAGTAAATATTTTATATGTTAAAAAATGAAACCTTCGAACATGACTTATTTACATTCATAGATAATCATATTAATTCTCCCAAATATTTATCAATAATGTTTACTGTTGAAAGTTCCAAATTTTTTGTGTTGTTATTGCAAAGACTCGACACTCTGAGCAGAGCGATACACACAGCTGACCGAACATGTTTAAGAGACGAACTCGACATTTGTTCAGTTCAGTTAGAACTTGTCACTGCGAGAATTCAGTTGTCATTTCACTAAATATAAAACAGCCATAATTATGAAATTTTTCGTGTTGCTTGTGGTGCTTGCTGCCCTTTTTGTCAGCTGCTTTGCGGCCCCCAAAAATGGTGTGTTGTGATTTTTTGAATACCTTACATAGAATTATTTATTAAATCTGATATGTTCTTTGGCATATAGTGGAGTGCGGTCTTGAGCATTCGCTCAATGGCGATGGACGTATTTCCTGTGAGGCATATATACCCAACTGGACTTTCGACTCTGCAGCCCAAGAATGCGTCCAGTTTATCTATGGGGGCTGTGGAGGGAATGCCAATCGCTTTGAAACCAAAGAAGTCTGTGAGGAGAGATGCCTCAATTGAATTGCTTGGAATTAAGACAAAGCTATGTCAAAAGATTTTGCAAGCAGAGATTCGGCTTAGTTATTGAAGAATAAAAAAAGAATAACATATTTGAATTTTATCAATTTAATTTATCTTAAAGACATTTACATAGAAGGGTATCTCAAACGAAATCATCAATCTGTTATAAGCTCAGCTTTTGAGTATATGTTATACATATACAACTTTATTTATCTTATTAATCCGGCAAAAACATCACGTTGAGGACAAGTTTCATCTAATTCAAGGTCGCTGTTAAATTAAATGTCTAATATTCTATACATCGTTTTGGGGAATTCTCTGTCTTATGAGTTTTGTTTACAACCAGTTTTTAAAGCTTATTACATTTGCATTGCTCGTATTAAATCTTGGAGGTGCGACTCTACATATCTTGCTGCTTCCTTCGCAGATATGTGCAATGAGCAGCACTCGAAGAATGGCATGGCTCAGGATGGAGTTGCCTGATTGGCTAGGTCCTAGATGGACTTATGATGCCGCCAAGAATGCCTGTTTAGAGTTTGATTTTGGTGGCTGTGGTGATAAAATAAATAAATTTTGCAACCAAGGTGAATGCGAGAAGGCCGGCAAGGACTAAGTGGACTGAGTGAGCTCTGTCGCTGACGAAACACCCAACGAAAGCAAATAATCAACGCTAAAAACTTGTTTTTATACCCTGAACACCTTGAAAAGGGGTAAAAAGGGTATAATGGATATATGTTAACGTTTGTAACGAGTGGAAGGAAACATCTCCTACCCCATAAAATACCTATATTCTTGATTTGATTCAACAGGCAAGCGATATAGCCATATCCGTTTGTCCGTCTGTATAAACACGCGGATCTCAGAGGCTATAAGAGCTAGAGACTTCAAATTTGGAAAATAGGTTTTCGTTTACCACGTTGTTACCAGTTGAATCCGTTTCTCGAATAACGACACACTTCGATTTCCGGTAGCAAAACATACCACAATTTTAAAGGCAAAGGCATCTAATTAATATATCAAGACCGGATAAGCAACACCCAAGTTATAGTCGAAAATATATTTTCATGTTGATCTTATTTATCTTATATCATTACGAATATGCGAGTGCTTATGTGAGAAAGGGATGGCATAATATTCGAAGCGAGCGTCAATATGTTTTGTGTGTTTGCCTGTATGTATGTGTGTGTGTGTACTGTGTATAAAACATGCTGTGCATGTTTTGCTCTTCAGTGCCGGTGCTTGCCATTAAAAAAATTAGCACACTTGAAGAGCTGCTCACATTTGGGTGCAATACTTTTTACAGGGGAATTTGCCAATAAAACTATTATATATTTAATAGCAAGGTTCAAGGGTACAGCGTAGTCGAGCTCCCTCGACGACAGCATTGTTACTTATTTACAATAAATATGTAAACATTTCACTGTAATATTCAGGTTTGCTGCTATTGCAAAGAGAGCTCATCTTGACCTACAGATAAGCCAGTTGGTAGTTGCCTATATAATGAGCGCCAGAAGGCAGTCTTAAGTTCAGTTGCAATCGAAACAGCGCCAATAGTTGACGTTTTTATTTTATTCGTATTCAACACCTTAAAAAGCCGAACTTAGGATGAAGTATTTCACCGTTCTCTTGTTGCTCTGCTCACTGCTGGGCGCAACGCTTGCCACCTTGAAGAACCGTACGTTTTTTGAGCACACCTCGCTGCGTTTGTAAGAGTTTGTGTGTAATTATTTGATCTCATTTAGCTGCCTGCGGCGAGGAGTTTGGTAAAATCGGCAACTGTCGCGCACTGCAAAAGATGTGGACCTATCGCCGGGACACCAATGAATGCATCAACTTCAACTACAGTGGCTGCCACGGCAACAGCAACCTCTTCGAATCGAAAAGCCTGTGCGAGACGACATGCAAAGTTTAAGCGTCGATAACGGGTAACCTGACTTGTTGCTATGTTTAGTGCAGTTGATAATTAAAATCATGAAACGCGCAATTGAAATTTTGTAATATGATCATTTATTGTTTTAATTTAATTAAATGTTGTATGTCTTGTGTTTTGTTTTGTTTCAATGTAGATATTTGTTGGCTTAAATAATGTTTTGTTGTTATTGGTTCTAGTGTTTAGTTTTTAGTGAGATAATCACTTATTTGCTATTGCTAATGTCTGTACAATGTCTAATACAAGTATATTTATATACATGCATATGTTGTATTTATATTTATAAATATAAATTTATAAATGAAAATATATGTATGTTACGCTGAAGGTGATATTGATTGATTTACCTCCGAGACATGGAATAAATAAATAAATATGAGTCTAAAGTACAAAACATCTCAATTTGATAATTATTTTTTTCTCAGAAATGAATTTGTTTACAAAAATACCGCCTGTGATTTCCCGTTGGAGGTTACTTTAACTATATTCTGTGAAAACAAGTTGATTGTTGGGTAATGAAAAAGTAAACAATCAATAAACAAATAGAGGCTAAAATTCACAATGCTGACATTTATTTCCCAAGACTGATCTAAAATCTTGAGAGAGGGACAATTGGCAACTGGGGTACACAATAAATCTGTATTGAACACATTCCCGTTTTGTTTATTTTCCTATAGATATTGTAAATGTATTATTACTTAATATGTTAAATCAATCATATGCTATTTCATAGCTTATCGATCTTAGTTGGGCCTATTTATAATGATTGAGGTAGATTCTGTTATTGTATATATAGCTGCATACTAAAGTGAAACCAATTGGATTTTGCTTTTGAAGCAGGTATAATATTTACTCTTACCTTGAAATTTTCGTTTAATAGTAGTGTTTTTGTTTGCTTATAATATGAGGTGAAAACATATATATGTATTATATATGCGAGTGCGACTTATTGACGCTTCAGTCGCAGTTTGTGTTTATATCTGCATGCTTTGCGCTTACAAATGTTGGGTAGTAAAATGCGAAATACCCTTTCCTGTTTCTCATGCTATTTTTATAAGGTGTGTGTAGTCTGCCCCATTCGGGGAAAGGATTGCGTATTGACAGATGTTATGTTAAGTCTGACTTTCTAAAATATTTGAATTGGAATTATGTTTATATAGTCTAACTGACAACATTAAAGGAGATTCGATAATAGTTAAATAAACTCAATAATAAAGTGTACCCAGAGTTTTAAGTGAGACTGAAAGATAGAATCTACTATCAATTTTCGTAGAGAAGCTTCGGACATGACTCATTTATAGATATTTACCCTTTCATTTACATTCATAGATATTTACCAACACTATTTGCTGTTGAAAACTCCAAATTTGTTGTGTTGTTATTGCAAAGACTCGACACTCTGAGCAGAGCGATACACACAGCTGACCGAACATGTTTAAGAGACGAACTCGACATTTGTCTAGTTCAGTTAGAACTTGTCACTGCGAGAATTCAGTTGTCATTTCACTAAATATAAAACAGCCATAATTATGAAATTTTTCGTGTTGCTTGTGGTGCTTGCTGCCCTTTTTGTCAGCTGCTTTGCGGCCCCCAAAAATGGTGTGTTGTGATTTTTTGAATGCCTTACATAGAATTATTTATTAAATCTGATATGTTCTTTGGCATACAGTGGAGTGCGGTCTGGAGCATTCGCTCAATGGCGATGGACGTATTTCCTGTGAGGCATATATACCCAACTGGACTTTCGACTCTGCAGCCCAAGAATGCGTCCAGTTTATCTATGGCGGCTGTGGAGGGAATGCCAATCGCTTTGAAACCAAAGAAGTCTGTGAGGAGAGATGCCTCAATTGAATTGATTGGAATTTAGACAAAGCTATGTCAAAAGATTTTGCAAGCAGAGAGTTTGCTTAGTTATTGAAGAATAAAAAAAGAATAACATATTTGAATTTTATCAACTTAATTTATCTTAAAGACATTTACATAGAAGGGTATCTCAAACGAAATCATCAATCTGTTATAAGCTCAGCTTTTGATCGTTACGCCTTAAGTATATGTTTTATATGTACAACTTTATTTATCTTATTCATCCCGCAAAAACATCACGTTGAGGACAAGATTCATCTAATTCAAGGTTGCTGTTAAATTAAATGTCCAATATTCTGTATCTCATTATGAAGAATTCTCCGAATTATGACCTTATAAAGAACCAGTTCTCAAAGTTTATTACATTTGCATTGCTCGTGATAAATCTCCATATATTTCTTTGTACTCTTGTTCTTACTGGCAATCAATTTTAGTTCGTTAGGTATATACATGTACATGTATGTACAAATTAAACGACTTTGGTTGCAATTATATACACTAATCGGTTTATATAGCGATTATCTCTCTTCATAAATATAATCAAAAGTTCCATGCGGGAGATGTTGTGCGGTTATCAGGGTGGACTTTTTATATTGACCCACGGTGCTCTGCTCTGGTGTCATCTAAGCGGACGTCTGAGCTAATAGATAAGATCAACACTTATTGGCTATATGTAGTTGTCTTTATAAGGCAGCGATATGGCTGCTGCGCTTTATTTCTAAATATGAAGTACGCGTTTGTTCAGCTTATAGCAATTGGATTGCTGATGTGCCTCTCCATGGTGCAGGCCAAGTCAGGTGAGTTGACAGATTGGACCAACTTGGAGATGCGACCCTACAGATCTTGCTGCTTCCTTCGCAGGTATGTGCAATGAGGAGCACTCGAAGAATGGCATGCCAGATGATGGAGCTGCCTGCATGGCTTATATGCCTAGATGGACTTATGATGCCGCCAAGAATGCCTGTTTAGAGTTTATTTATGGTGGCTGTGGAGGTAATAACAATCGATTTAGCAGCCAAGATGAATGCGAGAAGACCTGCAAGAACTAAGTGGAGTGAGCAAATAATCAACGCGCAAAGTTTATTTTGTACAATAAATTTGTGAAAATTTCACTATAATTTAAATGGTGTTTTTTTTTATTGCAAACAGAGCTCATCTTGACCTACAGATAAGCCAGTTGGTATTTGCCTATATAATGAGCGCCAGAAGGCAGCCTTAAGTTCAGTTGCAATCGAAACAGCGCCCCAAATAGTTGACGTTTTTATTTTATTCGTATTCAACACCTTTAAAAACCAAACTTAGGATGAAGTATTTCGCCGTTCTCTTGTTGCTCTGCTCACTGCTGGGCGCAACGCTTGCCACCTTGAAGAACCGTACGTTTTTTGAGCACACCTCGCTGCAGAGATTGTGTGTAATTATTTGATCTCATTTAGCTGCCTGCGGGGAGGAGTTTGGTAAAATCGGCAACTGTCGCGCACTGCAAAAGATGTGGACCTATCGCCGGGACACCAATGAATGCATCAACTTCAACTACAGTGGCTGCCACGGCAACAGCAACCTCTTCGAATCGAAAAGCCTGTGCGAGACGACATGCAAAGTTTAAGCGTCGATAACGGGTAACCTGACTTGTTGCTATGTTTAGTGCAGTTGATAATTAAAATCATGAAACGCGCAATTGAAATTTTGTAATATGATCATTTATTGTTTTAATTTAATTAAATGTTGTATGTCTTGTGTTTTGTTTTGTTTCAATGTAGATATTTGTTGGCTTAAATAATGTTTTGTTGTTATTGGTTCTAGTGTTTAGTTTTTAGTGAGATAATCACTTATTTGCTATTGCTAATGTCTGATTTGTTAGCTATCTGCTCTCTATGCACATATGTATACAAGTATATGTATATATACGCATATATATATTTATTTATATTTTGTATATATTTATATATATATATATAAATAATCATTGGAAAGTGCTCTGTCAGCTGAAATCTCAACACTGTTTGAATCATATGGAATCGCATCGAGGATTGTGTGTGTTCAGTTCAGTTTAACATATATTCTTTAGCAGCGCTCATGGGTTTTTATTGGCAGGTTATTAATTAAAAAGCTTGCGTAATTAATGTTTAAAAATTATGCGGTAATTGGTATATACACATATGTATAAATATTTATAAGAATTTTGATTTTTATCAAATTAAATACAAGTCAGAACGTATTTATTCAATTTTAAGTATACCAATGAATGAATGAATTATAAAAAGATTATTTTTTTAAAGATTTCTTTATGCCCGCATCATCCTCGCTCTATGCTCTCTCTCTTCATACTCTCTCTCTCTCTCTCTCTCTTCAGCTGTTGCTCTCTCAGTGTTTGGAATTTCAGCTGATTGGCACCAACAACTGTCTAAATGTCTAACTAAGTAATCTATAAGTATTGTAGATGTGACTTTTATTGTGTTTTTGCCCTCTAAATGCGTATAACTAATACATAAATGGTAGATCCGCCACTTGGCATATATATGTATATAGTACTTTAATATACTTAAATTAATAATTTAATGTTATTATTAAACGATTTGCTCGTCTTCGCACTTCTTACTCAGCTTTAGCAAGTAGAGTGCTGCCATTGACAGGAGCAGCTGTTGCTGGCGGCGAATCCGGACGCGCAGCAACCGATGGCAACTGCTGTGGCTGCTGCTGAGTTGGTGTGGTCGGAGGCGACAAGGTGGAATGATGTTGCTGCTGTTGCTGATGCTGTAGTTGCTGCTGTTGCAGTTGTTGCTGCTGATGATGATGATGATATGCCGCTGCTGATTCCGCCAGATCGAGCAAAGCTGCTGATGTGGAGCTGGAGGGGATGCTTGGGCCCAGCCCATTCATTGTGCTCGCTGTCATATCCTGTGCCTCGTGCTTCATGCGTAGCACATTGTTGTTGTTGCTGCTGCTGCTATTGTTGTTATTGTGATTAACGACATGCCCCAGAGCCGGATGATGGGCAAAGGAGAGCGGCGGCAAATGCAGTCCCGGAAATGCCAATCCGGCAGCAGCTGCGGCATGCAGCGATTGCAGCAGCGCGGCCGAATGCTCCTGCGCCTTGCGCCGCAGCTCAGCCACCGAATTTGAGCGTGGATCATGCGAGCCACAGCCACTGCTCGACTTGGGCGACTCCGGCGAACTGGCCGCCGAGCTGCTGCTCACAGGCACGCTTAGCGGCGCCATTACCGACGAAGATGCCGATGACGATGGCGGCATCGGTGGCGGCTTCAACGAGCAGCACGAACAGAGGCTTTGAAACGGCGACACACCTGTAAGAAATCGAATATTTATTAATTTTTAAATTTGTTTTTTGATGTCGATGCATCATCATCATTTGAGCTGGCAGCAGCTAATAATTTGATTATCAATTGCTTTTGATTTTTCCCCATTGATTGACAGGCAGCCCATTGATAGAGATTATGCCATTAGTCCACCCACCTTTAAGGCCCGGAAAGAGCGGCTGATGCGAGAACTGAGCAGCCAGATGTGGCGGCAGGAAAAGCGGTGGATGGTTTGCGCTGCGCTGAGCTGCCGCTGCTGCTGCTGCCACAGCGCTCTGCTCACTCAGCACGGGACGAAAGCCGCAATTGCTGCAATGGGTGGGAGGAAGGTAGAAGATAAAACAGGTTAGTGTAAGGTTGTGGCCTTATAAAAAGCAAAACAACAATAATAATATTGTAAAACAGGTAAAAGCACAGTATTTGATAACTAATTGTAGCCAGAATGAAAGGAAATCTGCAAGACATGTTTAGAAGCACGTCAATAGAAAGTTTCCTTTACTCGAAAAATCTGTGTATTTTCTCAAAAACTGATTTTCGTAGAAATTATTATATAAAGGTCTTAGACTTACATCGTCCACACAATATATCGATGTTATTTCATGTATTAAATTCAAAGATAATTCTCTGGTTAATCAAGCAATGGAACGTCTTTCTTTATGAATTTCACAATTCCACTCTTTATATTTATGTTGTGTGTAAAGCACCCAGTGACAAATGCTTCGTTTTCATAACACCAAACAAACCGAGCAACAAACACAGCTTTTAATTAACGCTTAATTGAAATAAATTAAAACATTTTTATGCGTAATTGCATTATTATTAATAAACCTAAATATTGTGTATATGAAGTGGAAGCTGTTGTCGCTCGATGATGTTGTTGCTGTTGGTGTCTAGGCCTATACTCATTTTAATTGAATGAAATAATACGCTTACAGACAACAACATACGCCCCGAGCTCCAATTCGTAGAAGGCAATGCAATTTCAACAATTTTAATTGATAAGCGAGCCAACAATTAAAAAAATAGATAGATATAAATGATGTAGATAAATTATGTGCCTGGCATAATCCATTAATAAAATTAACATATTTTTTATTAGTCATTAGTGTGGCATGTTGGTATTTGTTGCAAAGCCTATAATCAAATTCAAAATGAGTGGAAAAAAATGTAAAGCAAATTTAATCTACCTTTAGTCAAATTTTTGCGTCAAGCTTTTTAGCGCTTGGTCCATTTAGGCTTAGTCCATTGGGACGATTGGAAATGGAAGCAAATGTGTCCAAAATTTAATAATTCTTAGTGCGGCCTAACTCGACACGAGGCCAGCAGGACGACAGTGTGGAACACAAATCTCTGAATGCTAATCGAGTTGCGGGGAGGCAGGAGACAGGCTGGCCAGGACGAGCCGACTGAATGTCGCGACCACAGCCACTGGGCCACAATCGTCGCGGCTGCCGCTATTAATTCTTTTTACTTTATTTTTTCCTCCCCACCGGTGGCGCTTTTTCCGTCTAAACTTGACGGTTTTTGGCTTTTGCTTTTGCTTTTGTCACTCACCCACACCAACATGCTCCTGCCCCGATTCTGAGTTGTGTAGCGCCAGTCGAGATTTTTGAGGTTTGGCCGCTTTTTGCGTTTTGCATTACCTTACGAGGGAGGACACACTATTTGGCTTAAAACAGAATTTTGTATGTGACGAAAGCACAATTTCATTTTCCCCAGAGTTTTTTCAAAGAATTGAAAATGAAAGAGGGATAGCCAAACAAATTGTTAGGATTTAAAAAACATTATAAGGACTTTTAAATAATATACATATTTCTTTAGACACATTTTGCATTCATAAGTTCTAAATGCAATAATAATAAATTAAATATGTTTTAGAAAACAATTTGTACTGTCTTTCCTTCAATGCTTGAAGGATTTATTCTGCCTTAATCGCAGTATTACTCAAGGTGTCATTGCTAGAGCAAATCAGTTAAAATTTGGAAAATAGTAATCATGCACATGAAAAAGAAAAAGTTTTGGGCATTTCCATTAGTACGTATAACTTAATTATTAAAGAAAATCTTCAACATTTACTTTATATGCACTGTTTGGTCACACTAATTTGAATACAACTGATATTGAATGATCAGCTGTTAATTTGTCAATTTATCGCCACTTTACATAACTCTGTTAAATCTTATTCACTTATGTAAACACTACATTGTAATTTTAGTAAATATCGATAGTTTTCACTATCGAAGAGTCCGAATTGGAAATTCAAGGAAGCTTTTTGTTTCGATCATAAATAAACTTGCCAAATTAAATAGTTTAAACACTGCCCAGATCTGAAGTTTCATGTTTGCATAAAAAACGCTTTATGCATCGAACATGCGCATATATATTTCCTTCTAGTAAGATTCACACATACACACATATCAACCCAATTAGGCTCAAAGGTAAAGGCAAAAGTCCGAATTCAACGACAAGAGCAGACAAACAGTGACTCCTGCAAATACTCGCACTAGAACTACTATGTATTTGTAGTTCCAGTTACAGTCTCAGAGTCGCCCCTTGCCCAAGCCGTAGCGAAAAAAGCAGTAAACTTAAATGTTTGCGTATAATTAAGCACTCATCCTTTGGTCGTAATTAAATTTTGCATGTGCACATCCAACAGCTGCCGCTGCGGCACCGTCAACAGTCGGTTCTGGGCGGGTGGCAGGCAGTGTAGGAGGTTTTTTTTATATTTGGAGTATGCGTCATGTCTGAGACTGGCAAAAATGTTGCAACAACATCGTGTCGTCATGGCCTGCAGGCAACTACGAGAACTGTTTGACAGTGTGCCCCGCCCAAACGATTGCTGCTGCTGCCGCCTTAATTGCAACACTCAACAGTGTGCCCAGTCGGAGACGGGCTGCTCTCGCACTCCTAATTAAGACATTCAGATGCTCGAGTGTTGTCGTTGAGCTCGTTAGTTAGTACATAACTTTTGCTGTGGGCCAACTGGCGAAAGAATGGGGTGGTGGTGGTGAAGAGAGAGAGAGCGAGAGAAAGAGAAAGAGACAGAGAGAGAGAGAGAAACACGAGTGTGGAGAGGGGAGGGTAGTGAGCGTCTGTCAATGTCAGTCAAGCAGGCATGCTCAGCTAGCACACAAAAGTTTTCTTAAAATTTTCGCACTTTTCCCAGATTGCCGTTTGGCAAGGAGAAAGTTTTTCCTTACTTGACTTAATGAATTTTTACACATGTTGCCAGTGTTGCCTCCACAATGCTGCCGCACCCCGTTCCTCATAATTTTTCCGGCAAACATTTTAATGCTTTACGCAATTCTAACAAATTAAACTCGAGCAATCAACACCTCAATGGCATATATGTATCAACCCCACCTCAGAGAGAGGGCCAAACTCAATTTCCGCAAAATGTTTGCGCTACTAAAATATTTTTTTATATACGCTGTACGCATTAAAAATAGATAGAAGGGTGTAATGATGTAGCGTTTTCAAGTGTTTCATTATTAGTATTGCCAGTTAAATATAGTTATCTACATCTATAAGACAGTTTAGCGATATACAAAACTAAAGTACATCTAAGTCTTCCTTTGTTGGGGTATTGCATAACTAAACAAGGGGTAACTTTCCGTTAGGTACTCTCGACTGCAGCAATTTATCTTCTTTTTTTGGCATTAGCTTTGGCTAAAATTAATTTCTACCTTCTGCCCGAACTGCCAACGGGTACTCTGAACATTATATGCTTATTATATTAGGCAACCCAAAGTCGTTGTTGTTGTTGTTGTTCTTGTTGGAGTTGTTCGGTGGGAAGGAATTCTGATGGTTGGTTGGTTGGTTGGTTGGTTGGTTGTTGTTGTAACTGTGCGCGAGTCAGTGGCTTATTTTAATTGCATGATGAATATTAAAATATTTGCCCAATTTATTATTCAAGCATTCGTGTGAGCGTAAACATCAACGAGGCGGCTGCAAATACGCGTACAAATAGGTAAATACAGATAGTACAATATGTACAATCATAATACATACATAGGTAATATATATACATACATACATATATATATTTAGATTGGGTACATCATTTGGTTTTTGGCCTCTGCCTGGGCATGAGGCTGTTTACATGTTTAAGTAGCTCAGATTTTGCATGCCTCGACTCCTAATTACGTATTTAGTTATTTGTGCATAAAATATTTGGCAATTCGGCTTTAAGTTTAACCATTTTTTCCTAATATAATCAAAGAGATTTTAGATTAGGCTGTACACAAATTTAAATTAGTTTGCAGCATTGAAATACAAAGTATGGAAGAAACTTTAAGAAGTTTTTGGCCAAGCCTAAAAACAAAGTTTCCATTGGAATTTCTTCAAAGGTAACCACAAGTGGCAAGCGGTTTGCTGTGCTCTCCAAATTAATGAATTAGCTAACCAGAACTTAGAAATGACAAGCACTAAGCCAACACTTATTTCCAGCCCTAAGAAATACAGAGGTTGAATGACATATTGTAGACTTAGTAATGGTTGTATTATTAGTCAAAATAGTATAGTAAATAAGTATACAAGAGGTATACTTCATTAAAAGTCTCATAAATTGGCCTAAGCAAACTAAACTCAAGTTCAAGTCAGTTAAACATGCAAATTCTTATCAAACTCAAGATCTTTTTGGAGATCATCGCGCGCCATTAAATATTCATTGTTTGCCGCATTGAGTTTTAGTGTTTCCTCGAGTTTTAATTGCTTATGCAAATAAGTAAAATGAACGCAATTAAAATGCTTAATGGCCTTGATAAATAAATAAATAAAACAAAAATTCAATAAAGTAATCGACACACAGAAAATTTAAAATTTTAAATTTAAAACATTTATGTTTGTTTCGAACGTTCTCAGTTAAGCTCGAATTCTTGGACAAAAATCCCACAAACGACGATGACAATTAGATTTTCAGATTATGACTTTAAAAAAATATATATTATTTCTTCTCTTCCTTTTAGTAACTATCATAAGAATGGCTAATTGTCTTGCATTGACTTTGCGAATAAGTTAACTGACGTCAGCATTAAATTTCGCTTCAAATGATTGGCATTCGAGTGTTTATCAGCTTCTCGATTTGCATAAAATATACGAGAATACTGAGAAAAATAACTAGATATAACGATAGCTGAGTGCATGCCTAATGCGATGATAAATGCTTGAGATGAAACGCTCGACTTGAGATGAGCAGCAAAAACGATGGTAGCTACAAGATGGAGGCACACACAGGACATCCGGTCGAAGGCATTTGAATAACAATAAAGATATCAAACGATATCAAAGCGCTGAGTGCATGCAATTTGGCATTAGCATATACATACATAGTAGAATGGCAAAAAGTCGGAATTGATTTGGTCAACCGTTACAACAACAAACAGCGAGACAAATGATTCAACTGAAACAGGAGTAGCACCAGCAGCTGGAGCTGGGGCAGGGACAGGAACTGGAGCAATGCCTGTCAATCTTGACCTTCTTGCCCAGTGGGTTGTCCCCTTTTTGGCAGCCACTCACCCACTTGGCTTGTGAGCTCCTGCCGCTGTGCCATTATTGCCCGATCCGCATCCTGATGGCATGTATGTATTTTTCCTTCTTTTCTTTTTATTGTGGTGTGACTCTTGATTGTTGTTGTTGTTGTTTGCTGTTGTCTGGGCGCGTTGACATGTGAGCTGAAGGAGAGTTGCGGCCGCCCGTCGCCCTTTAGCCGGCTGATGAGACCGCCCACTGCTAACCGATACACCCTCCCCCCAATCCGCAAAAAAAAAAAAAAAACAGCAGCCGCCTTTTGCCGGGTGTGGCATATGGTTACATTGCAGCATTACAAAGCACGAAACACCCTCATTCACGCGCAATTAAATTTTCAAGTTGCTTTTTATGAGCGTAATCGGTATTTTTAGTTATGTTTAGATTTATAAGATTTATATAGGAAAAACGCCAAATTATTTTAAAGTGAGCAATTAAATTGCGATTTAAATCTTTACATAGAAAGTAGATAGAAACTTGGCAAAAAATTAAAAGAGAACTTTTAATTTATTTTGAACAACATTTCAGATGAGAAAGAATAAATGTTGATTAGCAATAATTTAATCATATACATATAATATTATAATAATAACATATTGATATAATTTTTGTTTTGAGTTCTAGTTTCTGATTTACGAATATTTATTTTAATCTAAAATTAAAAATACACAACACAACCTATTTTATATTCAAAGAATGGGCTTCAAAGCAGTATCCAATTATACTTTCCAACACACACAATTATATTGCTGAGACTATGCTAACCACAGTTATTATAATAAATAATGATCTTTTAGAATATAGCTAAATGCCAGTAAAACTCATTGCTCATTCCGAGCCACCATCTAATTTATTTATTAGCTGAATTAGAATCTAGCTGTTGAAAACAATGCTTGGATTATTCAGGCGCTGTTGTTCCGTTGGTGATTAGAAGCTGGCATCGTTAGCACGTGTCGGTCATATCAATGCAGCATCATTAGATCTGGCCAGAACTGTTGAGACTATGTGGGACTGGGCGAGGACTTGGGGGGCACTCTTAATGTTTCCGCTGGCGCACACGACATCCGCTGACCGGAAGTGCGCCAATGGAATTTAAACGTTTTTCATCCAAAACATTAACTGAAACGTCTTCCGCTGCGCACGCCTGTTCAATAGCCCGTGCCGCACACCCGGCCACCGCAGGAGTCACAGGACTCTCAGGCGTCTCCTTGGCAAGAGTCGCAAGTCGCGCCATCAACCGAATCCACATCCATCCACATGCCACCCATCTAATATCATTACTGCTCTCATTGTGGTCGTTTGTCTGGCTATAATAATACACCTAACTCCCACAACCAGACAATTTCTCCACTTTTCCTTTGCTTGCTCGTAATCAATTGCTAATTTAGTCATCGTCGCCAAAAAATACTTTAGGGGTGACATTTGACATTTGTACTGCACAGAAAAACTCAGCCACCTCCTCACTCCCCGTATCCTGCACGGATTTGTAAATATTTGCTTGGAAAATTGTTTTTCGGGGGGTGGTATTTGTTCTGTTTGCCGTTTACTCTCTTCTCTTTATGTATTTTTTTTTTCTTTCCTTTTTTGCTGCCAGTTGTTTCTGTGCTCGGTGGCATTGTTATTGTCAAATTGACGACAAAATGCGACACTTGCCATAAATGTATTGTTTGTTGTTGCCTAATGCCCTTGTAAGTGGAGGCTTAATGACACGCAGGCAATTAGCAGATCGTTGAGTTTTAATCGCGCTGGTTTACAGAGGGGTGGTGCACGCATCAGGGGTTGCACATAAGTAGTTATAGAAGTAGCTATTTGTGTACCGATGTTATGGATAGCCCTTCAACTAGTTGTACAAGTAATTCGATTATGCATAACCTTGCACTGAGAATAAGAATTTCTCACCAACTAAATAGACCCAACAGATCCTAAGTTAAACATCGTGAAATTTGACAGCATTTTTTGTTTTAATTGAGTGTCTAAAATCGGAAGCCAAAAGTGAAAGAACTCAATTAAAATAATAAATTAATTATTTTATATTTTGAATGGAATATACTACTATATCACTATAAAATAATATATATATTTCTATATTTCAGCCTATTAATATTCAGTCTATTCGGTAATAATTGTATTTTAAATGCAACAAATTATGAATTACAACTCAAAGAAAACCTCGATTTAATAATGGAAATTAATTATGATCGATCAAATGATATTGCTGAACTGGTCGAAAAACACGGCACACATTTTGTTATTTAACAGCTCTGTGTAATTAATGGGTTGACAAATTTAAATATTTATCTTTTAAATTTTGTCTCCATTGGCGCCTAATTTTAAAATACTATTAATAATAGAGATCTTACAACTTACCTATCGTTGGCAACGCTGCCGGCACCAAAACTGCCAAAAATGTGACTACCAAAGGCTGCGGCAGCAGCTGAATGTTGCATCTGTGCTGCGTGCGGCGTTGTTGGCGTTGGTGTCGATGACGCCGAGTTGTTGGACGAGGCAGCCATACGAGAGCCGGTGGTCAGCGACATGGGGCCACCCACCTCGATGGGTGAGTCCGTGTTGCGTGAGTTTGAGGGGCTGCTGGGGCCCAATCCGCCAGCCATTGGCGTATGCTCGCGCATGCCCGGCGAGGGAGAGCCGGCGCTGATGGAACCCAGCGATTGGGAGGCGGAGTGCGGTGTGGCGGTCAGCTGTGTGGAGGACAGCGGTCGTTCATTATCGCTGGAGTCCAGATGATGGCCACCAGTGGGACTGCGTGAATGCTGCTGCTCCAGGGGCCCATTTGTTAAAGGACTATGGGAACGCTGACGCGGCGGCAGCTCATCCATATCATCGTCGATCTCGCCTGTGATGTCTGGCGAGGATTCGCGTGAGTCATGCAGCTGCAAAAGAGAAGTAATCATTTCAATTTTAAGCTATTAACGAAATTTAAACAATGGCTAAGTGACTATTTGGTTCAAAACGTTGCTGCCTAATTGGCTACTAGAAACAAGATTAAAAGATTTATTTAAAATTTATATAAATAAAGTTATATATATTTTTTTAATAAATTAAATTTTAAATTAACAGAACAGAAACAAAGGTCTTATAAGCATTTTCAAATGCCTAAAATATGTTGATACTTGTTAATCCAACTCCCATTTCATGAATTAAAATTAATGAAATGGTTTACAATCGAACTAAAAACTTTCTCAACAGAATTTAAGTCTTATTTTTCAGATTGAATATCAGCGGCCAATACATTAACTCATAGTTATACTAAACCCTTGCAAGTGATACCCATCGACTACAATTCAAATAACATTTTCAATTCAGATCAGCTCAATATTTCATTATTCATTTTTAATATTTCCTTTCAATTGTATTCATCATTCAATACCCCCACCACATCGTTTGCGGCAAGTCTGTGGAGTGCAAAAGCGATTTCCGTTGCCACCACATCCGCGATATGGCATTCTCCTGCAGAGCCTAGCACGGCGATCGTGCCACCACATGTGCCTATTTGCATGTTGAAGGCATCCGCGAAGAAAGGCATGTCCTTCATCTCTGCCAGAATCGCAACCTATCTGGGCAGCTGATGAATAATAACACAAGAGTTGCAGCATTCTTTTTTCAGATGAGAAAGTTTTTTCCAATCACATACCGGAAGCAGCACCACGGTAATTGGTGACAAACTGTGCCTGAGTCTGTGCCATATAAAGGGTCAAGCAAGCGAAGACAAGAAGGAAATTTATGCTATTTAAACTTGTTAAACTCGATCAACCTTCAACTGATTTTAAGCTGTAAATGTGGGTACTTATATAGCATCTACGAATACTATACAATTTATTAATAATACAGCAACGATATACAAATATCGTTCACAGAAGGGACCTAAATATAAAGTATTGTTCATTTCTGAATTGAATGTCGGCTCAATAAATTATTTATGCAACTATTATTTTACAATGAATAAAGGGTAATTTATATTGTGAACTATACTATTTATTTTGTACATAATATATTTATATATATATATATATAGATATATAACATAGTTTCGAGGGTGTTCAGTCGGTATTCCCATATATTTGTCTCATCATTCTTAATTCTTAATGAAGAACATATTACAAGTTCAAGAATATTTCAATTACCTAAGAATTTCTAAACTCGGAGAATGTATTTACTACTTGCCAGAATGGACATTACATAAAAAAATAGGTTTTAACTATTCAAACCAAGATTAAATAGAATAATGGAGAAAATATTTCAAGGTGTTATCTTAGAAGCGTAAATATGAAAAATTATTCATTATTATATGTATCCATGCATACATATTTATGTTGGATTATTTCAAAGACTTTCTGATTGCTTAAAGAAATTAAATATATATATATTAAATTTACTATTATGTATATATTTCTTATGATTTTCGAATATTTTTTCAAATTGATAAAAATGGAACAAGGGTCTTATAAGCATTTTCAAATTTCTTCAATATGTTTACACTTTTTAATCCAAGCAATACCAAGTTATACTAAGTCCTTGCAAGTGATTCCCATCGACTACAATTAAAACGTTGCAGTCGGGCATAACCGACTGCGAAATACTTTGATACCATAAGTTAGTCCAGCAGATAACAAGTAGCAAAGACCAGGGAGGGTATTGCTAAGAAATACTGTCCAAGTTTGCCTTTCAAATTGCGATAGATAAAAGCTAGTAACGTTTCTTCGAAGTTTGATAAGTTTAGCTCTTAAATTACGGGAGATAAGCTTTTGAAAATGTTGAGGGCGGGAGTGGGCGTGGCATGGTCCAACATTTTTTCCCCGGATTTTGGAAGGATGCTACTAGCAATATACCTTTTAAATTTGAAATGATCTTATACACTAACAGGTGTATCGGTTTAGGGAGGCGGAGTGGGCGTGGCCATCCAATTGTTTATCGATCTCTTAGGGGAGTTACCAGTAACATACTTTTAAAATTTAGTGACTCTAGCCCACAAATTGTGGAAGATATGCGAATTTCAGATTTCTAGGATCGAAGTTCCCGGGGGCGGCGGGTGTGGGCGTGGTCTGAAAATTTATTTGACGATTCTTGGAGGAGGTTACCAGCAAGTCAGCTTCCAAGTTTGGTCACTCTATGCTTAAAATTGTGGGAGATAGGCGGACTTATTGATGTACACTTTCCGAAATATCGACCTTGGCGATTATAGGCGCAGGTGTGGGCGTGGCCATTCAAATTTGCTATCGGTTTTTAAAGGCGGCTAAAAACTGCGGAAGATATAGACATGGACGTGGGGGTGGCGGAGATGGACGTGGCATATACCGATCTTTCTGGGACATCGCCAACCACCTCCACCCAAATTTGGTGACTTTAGCCTTCAAATTGTGGAAGATGTATGGCCTTATCGATTTGCGAATATCGATTATATCGATTTCCTAGCCTCCTAGTGGGCGTAGCACTCCAATTTTTACACTTTACTCATAACATTTTCAATTCAGATCAGCTTAAAATTTCATTATACATTTTTAATATTTCCTTTCAATTATATTCATCGTTCGATAGCCCCACCACATCGTTTGCGGCAAGTCTGTGGAGTGCAAAAGCGATTTCCGTTGCCACCACATCCGCGATATGGCATTCTCCTGCAGAGCCTAGCACGGCGATCGTACCACCACATACGCCCATTTGCATGTTGAAGGCAGCTGGGACGAAAGGCATGTCCTTCATCTCTGCCGGAATCGCAACCTATCTGGGCAGCTGTAGAATAATAGCACAAGAGTTGCAGCATTCTTTTTTCAGATGAGAAAGTTTTTTCCAATCACATACCGGAAGCAGCACCACGGCAATTGGTGACAAACTGAGCCTGAGTCTGTGCCACATAAAGGGTCAAGCAAGCGAAGACAAGAAGGAACTTCATTCTATTTAAACTTGTTAAGCTCGATCAACCAACTGATTTTAAGCTGTAAATGTGGGCACTTATATAGCATCTACGAATACTATACAATTTATTAATAATACAACAGTTGTTCCAGATTGTAGTCACTGAATACAAATATCGTTCACAGAAGGGAGCTAAATATATTGTTAATTTCTGAATTGAATGTCGGCTCAATAAATTATTTATGCAACTGTTATTTTACAATGAATAAAGGGTAATTTATATTGTGAACTATACTATTTATTTTGTAATATATTTATATATATATATATATAGATATATAACATAGTTTCGAGGGTGTTCAGTCGGTATTCCCATATATTAATCTTAATTCTTAATGAAGAACATATTACAAATTCAAGAAGATGTCAATTACCTAACAATTTCTAAACTCGGAGAATGTATTTATAATTCACTACTACTTTCCAGAAAGAACATTACATATAAAAATAGTTTTTAACTATTCAAATCCAACTTAAAATTAAAGTGAAGTATTTCAAGCTGTTATCTTAGATATCTTATATAAGCTATATATGATTTTTTATGTTTTTATGTATTTATATTTATGTTGGATTATTTCAAAGACTTTCTGATTGCTTATATAGAAATATTTTTGATTTACTTTCCAATTTTAATGTAAGAAAATTAGAGAAAAAAATGTTTTTTTTTGTTTACCACCATATAAACATCATATCCAAATAATTAAATTTATTTTGGGGATTTTCGAATTGTTAACGTAAATTATACCTGATGTCTGATTGATTACCCAGCCCTCATCGTGTACGCTCTTGAACATGAGCTAGTTATTATTATTATAATATTTTTTTCCAACTGATTTCCTTCTTGATTAAAGGAAGATGTTGTTAGGTTAGACTGCAGTTGAGCAATGTTGAGCTAGATTCACCCAAACTAACTAATTCCATTCGGTTGAAAAAATAGTTTTTAAAGTGTTTTTGTGTCCAACCCCGGCTTACCTTATCCAATGAGCTGCTGCTTTCGCCATTCTCTCGCTTACGTTGCTCATCCTTGAGTCGCTCCGCCTTGCGCCATTTGGCGCGTCGATTCTGGAACCAGACCTGTGAATGACAAAGGATAACGCAGAGAGGATGCAGAAGTTAGAAAATTGCTTTTGTACGCCTGAGTGCTGTTATTTATGCTGTGGGCGAAAGTTGCGCCCCCGACTTGGCTGCCAGCCAATTGAAAATTGAAAAACTTTCATCACACACTCACACGCATACAGACACACTTATATAAGAAAATAAACGAAATTTTCCACCTCAGAAACTTTAACAATTTGTTGTTTGCTTCACCCGCCACCCACTCCACATCCCATTGATTTTCATTGTGTCTTCTAAGACATAAACAAACAAAATCTGATTTTCAATTTTGCGCAGGCACACAAAACAAATTTGGCCTGTAATCAGCGCCTAAATTGGTAAGAGGCTGCAAACGATGGCAAGGGGGCACATGCACAATCATCCACATACACACACACACACAACCCATACACACACACACACACATGCCAGAGCAGCATCTTCACTAATGAGCTTCAATCAAGACAATGCCCAGGCATCCTTCGTAGCCGTCGTAGCCTCCCCCACACCACCCCCAACCCCACTGCTCTCTCCTCTCTCCTCTTGGCATCCTTGGCATCCTTTTTGCCTGCTTGCTTATGCGCGCGTGTTTCCTTTTTGGTAGCATTTGTTGTTGTTGCTGCTGCTGCTGCTGCTGTGTTGCTTTTAGTTCCGGTTACGCTGATTCCATGCTTAGAGCGCCCCCTAATGGGATTTCTAACGTCAGGGGGCGCCATCTTCTATATCTATCTCCCTCTCTTGCACTCTTCGTGTGGCTGTGTGTGTGTGTGTGTGTGTGTGTATAAGTAAATTTCCTAATCAAAATTCAAATTAGACATTGTGCAAAAGTTCGCATTGTTGTAATCATAACGCAACATAAAACAATTTCAACATTTTGCGCCTCGAGGCAACTTTCTCCGCTCTCTTTGCACTCTTACACACACTCTCTCTCTCTCTCTCTCCCTCTCTCGCACACTCTGTACCCGCTGGCTCTGCTGCTCCACTGGCTTAGCCGCCATGTTGGCAATATCCCAGACACAATACACACACACACACACACACACCCACTTAAACAAACACTACCCCAAACCCATGCTCAAGTGGCTCTGCCAGGCTCCAGCTAACAATAAATTGCGCACAATCCAACCCCCGAAAGACAACCACCCATCCACCCCCTGCTAGCACAGACTTCCCTGGACTTAATGCGGGGGTTTCTCTTTTTTCCTCTTTTTTTTTTTTGGTTGGTGGTGACGCCCACCAGTTACTTAATACAATATTTATGCCATAAGCACATTACCAATAAAATATGGTTGGGTAAACTTTTTCGAAGTGCAGCGTCTCCCTTCAGGGGCTCGGTATGAGTGGGACAGGTATAGCCTGGCGTGAGCGAGACAGACAGTGTATGGCTGTGCTCTCGTTATTATCATCAGGACAAAAATTGAATAATGAAAAACAATTGTGTGCGTCTGCCTTGACTTTGCCAACCAACCCCAACTCAACTTACATCATATAAATGTATGTATTTGTATATGTATGTGTGTTTTTTATCTTCCAATAATAATTTCATGCACAATTTTGCTTTGTTTTATTGCAATACCTAAACGAAAAATGAAGCCCGCAATCTTTCTCACAAAACGGCCGGAAAACGTGTTTCTTATTTATTCAATTCGCTTGGCTTAGTTTCTTGATTGCTTCTCGAAGCTTACAGCTGCAGAGTATGCAAAGAATTGGGCGGCAACTTTTATTTAACTTTCAGTTTAATTTTCAGTTTCTGTTGCTCTCTGCCTTTTGCCATATTCATTTACAGCGATGCTAATTGATTTCGTTTGTCTACAACATCTCTGCATTTTTTTTTGGGGATAATTTTTAAATGATGTTTCCAATTTTCGGAAATGAAATTCTGTAGTATATTCCGATTGCAGTTATTTAAATGAACGCATACTTTTAGGTGTAGCTCGAGCAATCTTAAGTGGCGTCAAAACTATTTGCTTTCTTCGATAAAGATTTATATAAAAATAATAATTAAAATTAGTGAATGAATATTGTTTGAGTAGGGTAATAAATTGCACACTTTAATGTTAGAGTTCTTGTACACTTTTAAAAAATCACTCTGGAAAATATATATATTTTCTCTAATTTTCTGGGGTTTTAAAAAGACAAATATCTTACAAATATGCTTTTTGAATAATAAGTTTAGCTACTCTTGACGTCGAAGAATGCCGATTTTTAATTTTTCTGAGTATAGGTTTTATAATAACACATTTAAGACACTTTTCAACACTGTATTTGTGTGCCTGCACTTCTCACATTCGCTGAACAGCACACGTCGCTATTGGCAAGCAAACGCATTTCGCCCTATCGAAAAAATTGCTTCTGAGAAGCTCTACTTCACGTAATTTATTTACAACATAAAAATGTAAACAGAAATGAGAAAAGAAACGCCCGAAGGCGGCAAAGTGCTCATAATTTCGACTCAACAATGCGAACAGGACACACGGTAAACAATGGGAATGGGAATGGGAATGGGAATTGCAAACTGGGCGATAAAAAAAATTGCGGTTACAAGTTACAAAAAGCGATTTGCGATGTAAGAGCGAAAGCAAATAAGCAAACAAAGTTGTTCAAGAACAACAACAACAAAAATGGAAACAATGAGCGAGTAACCTAAACAAGCAAAGGTAAACAACACCACCCCAAAGGAAGAGGCTGCGGGTATGGGGTTGGTCGGGGGTAATTATGGCAAGTGCGCACCATTAGCTTCCGCAAACAGTTTTGTCAGCACTCCACAGGACGACGACGGCGGCGACGATAATGACGCAGCTCAAGTGGAATGAATGAACAGATGTGTTAATATCAAACGCATTTTGTGAACCCTTTGCAACAAAAACACCAGCAACATTTGCTGCCGGGCAGCAGCAACAATAATTGGGCTACCGCAACAGCAACACCCCTCGGTATCGCCCATATTGCCGGCGGCGAACATATGCAGTCCAGAGAGCTGTGTCCTGAGTGAGAGAGTCCTTGCCATCAACTTAGATCAGCATTAAAGGATTATTGAAGCAAATGCAATTATTTGACAGTACGCCACAGCCAACCCCTTTGGGCGATGTCTTGAGATGTGGTCGGATGGTTTGGGTGGTTTGGTTGCTTTGGGTGGTTGGCGGGTTGCTTCCACTAGTTTCTCCCTAATTCCCATAGTCTGTGATTATAATAAATTATCAATTATTGGCATTATATGCGGTCGCCTTTTCCACTCTTCTTTTGGCGCATAGTGGGCGGCACGTGGGTGTGGCACTTGGCATTGTCATGCTGCAGACATAATTCCAAACGAATTATGTATGTGATATGCGTTTGTAATGCGAAACGGGGTAAACGCAGTGTGCTGTGGCATCGATAACCAGCTTATAAATATTTTCTTCAATGAATATTAATGTTTTTATTTCGAGTACTAATTGAGATTGACTGTGGCAAGGCTACGAACAGTCTTAGTCTCTGAGATAAAGTTAATCCATGATTCGAAAATGTTTCTTTTAGTTGTCAATTTAGATTTTTCAATCCGCTGACACTGTGTGTCCTATAGTTCTGATAATATATAATCGATTAAGTTTGGAAACAATATTTTTACAAGTACGTTTTCATATTCTTTGAGCATTTCATTTTTAAATAATTTAATTTAATATTAATATTTAATATAATTTACAATTTCGTTTACTATCTAAAACATAATTCTGTACTTGGCATTATCAATTTGTAGTTGCACATCAAACTTTATAAATTGATGCGAATAATTGTGGTTGATTAAGCTAGAAACCTGAGCACACAAATTAAGTCAAAGAAATTTGCAAATTGGAACTGTGCGAGACTTGTAATCATTAGCACTGGCAATTTGTGACACTGTGCCCGGAATATGGTTGGATTAGTGCAGGGGCAGCTGACAATTAGCGGATCTACTTCCACACACTCGGAGGCACTTGCTCGCTCAAGATGTGGGTGGCTGGCACTCAGGCACGTTGCCCACGCAAAAGATTGCAACTGAGCAAATTATGCAGCACAAAACTTAATGAGGATGCAACGTTAACGAGACACGTAGCCCATCTCTGAGATGTGAGATTGCGACCCACACAGGTGACTGCATTAGAAGCACTTTGGTGGCGTTAGGCTATGACAATGACGCACTTGTCTATTTCCGGCACAATTAGCTGGCGCTGGAAAAAAAAAAAAAAAAACAAACAAAAAAAAACAAATTGTCCAAACTGCCCCTCAACCCCGAGTTGATGGCGCAAAGTTCCCAGGCGTAACCTGATACTTTGAATTAAATTTGGTACAAATTTATATGTCAAACGTCCAACAATGGGACACTTGTCGCAAACACGTGTACACTTGTCAGCCTAACAGCACAGCCCAACGGAACCACCCAAACCACCCAAACCACCCGAATTAGCCGACTGTCAGTTCGCTGACTTCTGTCCAGGTTTTCAACTGAAACAGGTCTTTAAATGTCAGACACATACAAAACATATAGAAAGGCCATAAAAAAATACGGCAAAAAGCTATGAAAAAAACAATTGTTAAAAGAGGAAAAACAGAGAGAGACATTGAGAGAGAGAGAGTCGCTTTCGGGCCGGGTTTAGTCTGGGATTTCGATAATGGAATGAATGCCAAATATTTTGATGAGGGTGGCTTTTTATCTGCGCATTTTCAGCGACCGCATTTTGACACATTTTGCGAAAATGCCAAAATAAATTTTATAATAAAATTTATTATGTACTTCGCTTGATTCCTCTCCAACCCCTCGCACTTATTTGCCGCTCACTTGGATTCGTAAAGCCGGGTACTTGTAACCTGATATGTTTCTCTTCTTTTATTTTTCCACTGTCAATTTTTGATGTTCGGCGTCTGTCGCACCGCATTTCAATCCGGCGCAAAATCATTTACTTAATGCGTATCCGTGCGACTGGCGAGTAAGCCAACTTGAGTTTTGATAAGTACTGCACTATTCTCTCTCTCTCTCTCTCACTGTCTTCCACTCTAATTCTCTCTGTCTAGACGGCAACTGGTTGGTTACATATTGCCGCCTTGGCTGCTTGACAAAGACAAAGTGCTTTGAAGTTGAGCTAATGTGCCCGAGCTTGCTTATAAATGATATTGATTGATAAATCAGCGGGGAATGAAATTTAATTTAAGCTAACTGAAACTATGAGAAATGATCAGATTACTTTACTGCGTAGTGAGAGTCTCACGATTGATGGGGTTAGGGAAAAATATTTTTCAAAAAAGTTAAGATTTTCATAAGAATATTTCAATATATGTGGAATGAACACTAAATTTGCTGATAATTAAATTAATATGGAAAAACATTATATCCAATTCAAGCATATTAAAATGCTCTAAAAAGCTAATGTGCTTCAATTTAAATATATATATTCATTTGGCAATCTTAGGCATTGTTAAGATTGGTATGAAATTAAAACTTTATTTATTTCCGACTAAGATTAATATAATATGCGGAGTGCTTTTCAATTTGGATATAACATACCAATTATTTGTCTTCAATAAATTTGGTACATTCACAAGTTTCGTTGGATAACAATATAACAATCGAGTATTCAACGGAATTGCAACTTTTCTTGAAAGGGAAATTATTTGCTCTTCTATGCAATTCTCATGCAGTGCTGCTTTTATAAAGTCATCCTCTTTTATGGGATGTCGAAATGCCGCTACAAAGTAAAGTTCATAACTGTCTATCAACCTATATAAAACTCGCATCTAACTGTATATTGAAAAATAAATTTGATTTATTACGAGTATTGCTCTGGCCCGTCTCTTTTGTAAGGCAGGCAAGCAACGAGCCAAGCAACAATTTGCCCTGGAGCTGGCCAAGTTGGCAGTGAGTTTTGGCTTTTATAAGAACTTTGCATATTTGCTTCATTCAAAATGTATATAGAATATTTTTAAGGCAGTTATTGCATTAGGTTTGTACATGACCCCAACTCGCTACCTCTTTCTCCCTATCTCCATTAATCTTTCTCTCTCTCTTTCTCTCTCGCTATTTCTGTCACTGTCTCTTCTTATATACGATGTGCATATGCATTATTAATAGAAGGAGTGGGAGAGCGGGCGGAGTTGCTGGGCGTAGCTTTGATCAGGCTGCGTGACCGGGCTAGGGTTGCCCTGTTCGCTATTCTTGTGAAATTTGATACAATTTATGAGAAAAAAATTTTTTTTTTTTTTTTTTTTCTGCTTTTCTCATTTATAATTTGGTTTTTACTTAACCTTTTTTTTTGTTTTTTAAGCTCTTGGTATTTTTGCATAATTTCGAAAGGATTGACCAACCCAAAAGAGATGGAAAATCACAGTTATAGTCACTGCTGTCAGTTGTGGCACTCACCTGGACTCGCGCCTCCGTTAAGTTGATTTTCATCGCCAGATCCTCGCGTGTAAAGACATCCGGATAATGGGTCTGGGCAAATGCCGTTTCCAGCTCCTCCAGCTGTTGCCAACAAAACATTAAAAATGTACAATATTCCCTCTTAGTTTTTCCTTTTTATTTCATTTTTTCCTCAGCCAGTAGTTTGCTTACCTGTTGCAATGTGAAAGTTGTGCGATTTCGTCGCTGCTTGCGTCGCACAAAAGTCTCATCGTGTATGGCAGGATGATACGAGTAACTGGTATCTGCAAGGGAAACAGCAAAGCTAAAGTTAGTCAAGGCATTAGGCATTAGCTATCCCAAGGTGTTTGCATTAGCTGGCATAATTGAGCTAGTTGCATCGCCCAATTCCCCACTTCTCTCTGCTCGGCGCTGGTGTCGGTTCTTAAGCCCAGTCAGCATAAGCGTCACTAAGCTGGTTACACTAGTGTTCGCCTAGAGTCTAACGATTATTCGATGCCATTAAGGCAATGCATATGAAACATGAGCAGTTTTTCTTATTACCTTGTAGAGCGTATTATTATTCTGTTGTTATGTTTGTAACACATTGAAGAAGACATCTTCGACACCAGTAAGAATCTTATTATTATTTATTGTGATGTTTTTAAGGCATTGAAGAACACATCTCCGAACACATCAAAATATATATATATTTATTCATATATATATATATTCATCTTCATCACTAGCCGCATCTAATTAGCCATGTTCTTCTGTCCGTCTACGTGTTTGTCCTGATTTTATACACCCATTCCTTTAAATGGATGCTTTCCCTCTGTTTCACTGCTATCTTGTTGAAACTTGGCATATAACCGACATTTTATTTCAGGCAGTACATAGTTCGGAGCTGACCGGATCGGACCATTATATCACAAATGTAAAAAACTTAAGTTTTGAAATATAGAAATGAGTTTCGATCTGAAATCGCGTTGGCGAAATTCCTTAAATCATCTTCTAGACAAACATGTCAACCTTTCTGAGTCAACTTAAAACTAATGTGAAATATTCAGTTGACTTCTATGAAACAGAAAATAAATAAATAAAATTAGCTTAGTCAAATTTCGAACTCTGAACTTCAATTTAGACGTCAGCAAATTAACATCAGTATTATTCGGCTGCCAAAAAAGAAAACTTGTACTTCATGCATAAAATTCAGCAGATTATACGAAAAACTAGTACATTTATGTACACATTACTAAATACATATGCTAACTTGTATCGCATTCAAACCAAATACTGAAATTTATTTCATGTTCGTATCTGATCCCCAACGACTCAAAATACTTTCAAGAATTCCCACCACACTCATTGCTAATATTTCTTAAATAAAAAAAATTAATTAACCATTCGTTATAAAGAGTATTTTAACTATGTTGCTCAAAATATCTGCATTAGTTTGGCCAAGTCTTTGCTTGACCCCCCCTCAATGAGGCAGTGAGTAGGAAAACAGAGCTGTTCGGTGGCACGACGTGGCTATTGCTGAAAGGCAGCTGTTGCCAAAATTGCAGGCTAATTGAATTTTCTAGCAGCAGCGCCATTTTGTATGCTACAAAATATTTTATAACTGCCTTTTGAGCCGAGTGAAAGCGTAAGAAAAAGACAGAAACACACACAAACAGATACCGAGACAGAGACAGAGAGAGGGAGAGAAAGAGAGGGAGAAAGAGAAAGAGAGAGAGAGCGGAAGAGAACAAGAGTTGGGCATGCGACGTGTTGACAGCCGCACTTGACCCCGGAAAGGCGGCAAAGGAAAAGGCAAAATATAAAACGAATGCCAAAAAGTGAGGTCGAAAATTGTCGGACTTTTCATTGTTGTTGTTGCTGTTGTTGTTGTTGTGTTTTTTGGGCCTCTTGCCATGTTGTAAAATTAATTTTCAATTTGATTTTAAATAAATAATTAGCTAGCAAATTGCAAAATTTAATTTTAATTTCTTCTTGCTGACGCTCTTAAGCTCCAACCAACCCACACAGTTCCCGCTCCTTCGCTGCCGCTGTGTCAAGTACTTCTTCTTTTTTTTTTGGGAGGTTGCTTAATCCGATTAGCTGGAAAATGTTGTTAGGAGGCAGCCAGCAGCTAGCAGCAACAGTAGCCCTCGGCGCTCATTTGCGCCATTTGCTTGAAGGTCGCACTGTTGTTGGTCGTTGGTTGTTGGGTTGTTGGTAGTTGGTTGCTGTTCCCCCTCAGGGGAATACATCTAATGCGCTCTAATGTTGTTTGGCTGACAACTCTTGCAACTGCTGCTGATATCAAAGTGTCGCTATGCAAGCTGCGCACTTGTGTCCGTCTATCAATATTTAATTGTGAATATAATTAGAAAATGTTGTGCCGGTAAAGCACAAGATGCACTTGCCACTAGGCGGCTAATGCCGCACATCATTTGTTGGCCGACATCTCATTCTCTCTATATAGATTTTTGTGCAAAGTATTGGCCGGAGAGTGCCTGGCTAATCAAATGAGTCAATGAGTCAACGGAATGTGTGCACTTTTCGCAACGTTTCGTTTCCGTTTTCGTTTATCGGGCTAATCAAATTTTTTGTTTCCAATAATTGCTTGAAATGCAAATGGACGCCTTGAACATGTGGCATGTTGCATCTGGCATGAACTGCCTACTGGTTTGAGGCCAAAAAGCAAACGGCAACGGCAATTAGCACAATTAGGTTGCCAGTCCAAATCCCCAAAGCGTTCACCAGCCTCAACTCTCCACAGCACCCTCCTCGCCTCCTTCTCACTCTATACACACTGGCCGCTCGTCCAATAAGAATTTCATGCTGAAAGCATCGACCTGCGTACTAGACCAAACGGGAAATGTCAGTCAGTCAGGCAACAACAGCAGCAACAGCAACAGAAGCAACAACAACAACAACTCAACTAACCGCACTTGTCAGGAAGACAGGATTAACAAATCCTTGTTGGCAAATTGATTCAAAAAGTACCCAGCAGAGGGCACATAGAAGCCAACGCAGACAAGGGGTGCATAAGAATGCTGTGACAGAAAGTGATGACTCCGAAAACACCCTGTAAGTTGCTAACGACAGCAGTCTCACAACAAGCTTCTTTCCAAGCAATGATAATTATGTATTTTATAAATATGTATACATTTCTATCTAGTTCAATGAATGACAATTTAATCTTTTCTTAGACCTGTTTAATTAATTCAAATCAGTCATTTGTTTTTCCCCAGTTACTTAAGTAAATCATTCAGCACTTACTTTACTTATTGCAATATTAATAACTTAACTAGTAAAATTAATTCATTTTAATCTAATCAATATAATAATATTATTATACATTTTCTATTATAATATAATAAAAATACAACTTAATACAAACTCCTTACCCCCTTACGGTGTACAGGGCATAGCAAGACCTCTCTATTTCTACTCAACTCTCTGGCTCTTCTCTCTCCCTTTCTCTGTCTCTCTCTCTCTCTCTCTCTCTCTCTGTCTCTCTCTCTCTCTCTGCTGACGTATGTCTGCCGCCCCGCTCGTTAGCTGCGCTGGTAATGGGAGATAATTCAATTTTTAAACATTTGGCATAACAAGGGAAACCGTCATTATGGGATTTTTGGTCCTGGCTGTCGAAAGTCCTTGCAATCAGCTATCCTTGGCACTGGCCCATTCTGTTGCTCTGCAGCTGTATCTGTATTTATATCTGTGTATCCGTAAGATACATGTCTGCAACTTTGCTGTCTGTGTCTGCCAGTTGATTGGCATGTTGCTTGACTTTGAGTTCATCTGTTGTATCTGTGAGATACACACACACACACACACACACACACACACACACTGAGCCTGAAAATCAATTTTCATTCGATTTTTCCGTGTCTGTGTGTAGTCTTGCGTAATCTCAGACAAATTAGCATTTATTATAGTTTCGCAGTAAATTAGTTTTGGCCCAGTTTCTCATGCAACGATGCCGGCTTACAAATTGCTAGCGACACTTTTCGACTTTTCAACTTTGGCCATCTTTTCTTGATTTCCCCAATTCCCAATGCATAGGGCAACAGCACTTCTGGTGAACCCACTCCATCCCTCCCCCTCCACAACCTGTGCCATGGTCTCCATTTCAAGTTGAGCTCTCAGCTCTCGACGTTGTCGCACGCGCTCGAATTTTTAAATTAGTTTAGCAATTGAGAAGCGTTCCGGGTGTCGAGTGCCGGAGAATCACGAAGCACGAATCACGAATCACGAAACGAAACTAAATTGAATTAGCCATGCAAATGTTGAGCTTTTTTATTTTGATTTGTCTAAAGTGTCGCAGTTGATACCTTTAGACATTTCAAATCCAATGCATATACATGTTTGAGGTACAATACTTGGCCAGGCGATGACAATTTGATGAAAACTTGGTTCTTGTGTATTGGTATTGTGTTTAGGGAATCAGGTAGTAACGCTTGGAATATAGATACTGAAGTATTTAATGGTATTGAAAAAAAAACTTAAGGAAATGGGAAAGTAGCTTAGATCTTTATTTAGCTGTATTATAAAGTACATGTTTTCATATATTTTCACAAAATACAATCTTGTAAGCTTCATAATTAATTGATTCCGAAATCAGGTAGTAAGTTTTTGAATATCTCAAATTTTGAGAAACTTTAAATAATTGAAATAAATTGCAATTCGCTCAAATCTTTGTTTGATTGTACAGTAGAGTAAACGTGCTAAGTTATTTCATTATTGAATGTGTTCACAAAAAACAATAATCAATAAACAATAATTTTGATAATTAAACTTTCAATTCAAATTCGACAAACTTATATTTTCAAAAATATATTTCTTTTTAATTTAATAATCATTTCTTCCTTTTGTTTTATCACAGAGAATTAGATGAGCAAACTATGCGTGTTGCATGTATAAGTTAAACAATCGCTTTGCCGTGCATAATTCAGATCACATTCCGTCTGTTGGCTCATTAGAAGTGTTAGAGTGGACTTTAAGTGTATTATAGCCAAGTATGTGGATGCGATAAGTAGGCACAATTTATAAATTGCATTAGTAACACCTGCGCCACACTTGACGCAAATCAAAAGCGACTGTTGAATTTGTTACGTAATAAGCCGCAAATATGCGTAGTCTGTCACATTATGAGACATAAGTTGCAAGTCGTAAGACACACATCTCTCTCTGTCTGTCATATTGAATAAGTCAACAAGCAGCCAAAATGGAATTTGCACCTTCTGGGCAGCAGCAGCAGCAGAAGCAGCAGCAGCAGAAGCAGAAGCAGCAATAGCTGATTAAAGCAGGACGTGAGCAGCTTCTACGTGCAGAATGCTCATGCATTATATATACCAATAGTAGCTGCTCATTTCCCCTTGCCACCTCTCTCTCTCTCTCTCTCTCTCTCTCGCTTTCTATCTCTCTCTCTCTCTCTTGCTGTATTTGAAGTTTATGTAATGCGTTCGTAAGTCTTCGGCTAATCCCATTAAGTACTCGTACATTCCTCTCAGGCATCCCAATAACTAAAATGCTCTGCAATTTATCCTCAAAATTTGTCAGACGTTTTCACGAAATTTGTCGGCGCCTTTTATGTGTGTGTGTTTTGGCAGCCAAAAACAAACAAAAAATCAATAAAACCGTTTTCGGCGGCAGTTGGCACTTTGATTTTGATAAATGCAGCCGACGAAATCGTTTGTAGTTTTTTATATTTTTTTTTTGTTTCGTTTTTTAGGCCATATCTGCGCGACACTTTTCCACATTCCAGCACTGTGCGAAATTTGAATACCAAAGCATTAACGCGCTTTGCCGCATAATTGCATGATTCGAAACCCAAAACAAAAACCAAACCAAACCAAACCAAACCCAATGAATTCCCAGACCTAAAACTAACCTCACTTCTTGGATGCCTTTGCGGAACTGCCGCCACTCCTTTTAGCTCTCTCGCTTTGAATATCGATCGAGTTGCCGCCTCGCTTCGTTTACTTCTTTTCTGTTTTTTATTCAATTATAGTTATATACGGCAACGCTGGGGAGAGCTCCTATCGGACTGGCTCTCAGCGCACAGGCAAAGTTTATCATTGGTTGGGGGGAAGGAATAGCAAATCGAATTGCTCTGTGGTTTCCTTTCGACATTCGTCGAATGGCGTTTAATGGAATTTTTATGCGGCGCCATTTCGCGAACTGTCAATTTCTGACTTACACACTGAGTTGTTGAGCTTCATTAATCGGACAAGAATTATGACCAAAAAAAAAAAGAAGCAAAAAACACATTTTGCAGCACTTTCAGAGATTGCAATCAGCGCCAAGTGCGCTGCTCAAGTGCATATGTAATCATAATAAAATAATCCAACTCAAAGGGAAGCATCTAAAGTTTGTAAATATTATATTTCTTAAACCTTTTTATCTCATAACTCTGTTTATTTGAGATGAGTACTTTTCATACTATTTGATTGGGGGCTACTCAATTTGTTAATCGCACAAAAACTTAATAAAATAATCATCAAATGTTTTTAGAAAACTTAAGCCATAAATTTTAATTTGTAAAAACTGCTTAACTAAATGAACACTTTTTACTTTTTTCTTTCTATACTATTTCTGAGTTACATATTATTCTGAAGAAAAGGTATCTTTAAAGCTGTGCTCAACTATTTGCCTCGAATTAATCTCAAACAAAATTTCGAGTTCATTTAATGAACTGACGAATATTTAATTAGATGCGAAATCGACTCCCATCAGCACTCCCTTCACTTAGTGCTTATGTCTCTCTTTCTCTCTCTCTCTCTCTCTCTCTCTCTCTCTCTCCCCAATTGGCACTTACCCTCTGACCGATACAACACTAAGTTCTGCGCATAATTCATGCAACAACAGCAACAACAACAACAAGAAGTAAAGTAAGCCCTCGAAATGTGCGTCCCTGTAATCCGATATGCGACATAGTCCCAGTCGTAAACCCCGTCGAACCGTTGCACGTTCCTTTCATACAGCGTGCCACTAATAGAATAATTCGTTAATGTAACTACAGGATACACAAGTAGAATATAATCCGTTGGACGAGCGATTATCATTGGCTTTTTATCTCAAATTGAATTCGCCAACAGCAGAAACTGAGCATCTGTTCTGCTGCTGTTATCTCTAGTCGAGTATCTTTGCGATACATTTTTGTCATACTCACATGGATGAGTGGCAGCAAATGGATAGTCGAGTGTGGGCAGGCGCGGCGGATGAGGACCGCACGGGTGCAGGGCGGGGGGGCACTGATAGCAAAACATTCCTCTGCCCGCAGCTGCAGGACCGAGCTGTAAGTGAAAAATACAAGAAATAAGTTACAGATTCAGATGCAGATGCAGATGCAGATGCAGATACATAAATTGGTTAAAAATTGTCAGTAATTTTGATTAATTTACTTGCCAATCACGTACAAAAACGGAACAGTTACGAGCATTTCAGTATTGAGGCTGGGCAAACTTGTAATTTAAATGCAATTCAATTGATGACGACGTCGACGTCAGCCGAGGCAGCGACTGCGACTGCGACTGCAACGCATGCGGGCCGACTTTGCGTCGCCTTTAATGTTGTCATATGCACCTCAAACTCAATTCGATTCAATTAAAGACAATTACAGCCTTATGACAAATCATCTACAATCGATTTGAGTTTTTTTTTTATTTTTTAGTTTTTTTTTATGGTTCTTTGCTTTTGCATCTTGCTGCCGCAGAGTGCAGCGCTGCTGGCGTCGCTGTCTGCATACAATTAAATTGTCCTCAAACGAATCAATTGATTTAAATTAATTGCATTTGCCGCAAACTCGCTCATTGCTCGTCACTCAACGAATGGATCTTCGGACTCGACTACTGCCACTACTATTTACAGATCTGCATTTTTATTGCCCAGTTGATGAACTGACATCAGTTATGAAGTGCAATTGCCGCCCAGTTGGCGCCTTCTGCATCTCCACGGCTCTTAATTAGACCAATAATTTCTCATGGACCGGGCAAGAACTATGAAAGTTGCTGCTCTCATAATATCAGGTCAAATGTCACGGGGAAAGAGTATGTTGGAAGAAAGCCGTCGAGCATTATAATCAGATAAGATATGGGAATGAACTGAATTACATATGTGAGAATGGAAAGACTCATGCAACATTTGTAAGCGATACTTGTGAGAAATAAAGACCTAGAGATCACTCTCACAATGAACATTGATAAATGATTAAAATATCAAAAGTATCATGGAATCAATGTGATGAAATGAAATGAGGAATATCAGTTTCGTTATAAGTTTGTAAATTCACAATATCAATTCAACTTTCAGAATTTAAACAATATTCTTACACTTTCTTATTTGAGTAGTATTTTACAATCGAATTTTAAATCATTTAAGTCATATTTTGACTGACTGGGTGATTATCATATAGAAAATTAATTTTAAATAAAGTCCATAACATTTTTAGCATATATTGGATTATGTAGTTTTATTTAGTAAAGAGATGCATGACTTATAGCAATATTATAGCTCTGTTATTCATTATTCTCATTTAGTCAAACTTAATATATAATTAGTGGTGGTTCCAACACTACGACTAAATACATCTATTCTCCCATTCGACTTCAGGCATTTATATGTATTCAGAGTTATTCACATGTTTTCCTATATTCTACGCCTTTTTTTCTGGCCAAGGATTCTTCTTTAGCTATTGACTATTGTTTCGTTAGATGACTTCTTTGCAATGTTCTGTCTAGAGACCGTTGAGTATTCCAAGTCTAACCTTGCCCACGACTGCTTCACTCTTAGCTAAAATAATTTTCTTGTCGTTAACTCTGCTCGATTGTTTTCAATTTGTTATATTATTAAGTTAAGCTCTTCTCCCTTCTAATTATGCTATTTATAAGTTGTACTTCAGTCAACAAACTATGAAAATTCCGCCACTTTACCCAACCATGGAGTTGCCCTCATCCAAGTTTCCGTGCCACACTGTGAATATTCGCCGTAGAGGGACCCATTAAAATTTCAAAAATCAATTTCACGAATAGCATTTTGATTTGATTTACATTTAACACGCGTGGATCAGGCGACAAATACATATACATATATCTATATATATATATATACATATATATATATATGTATAGGCAAGCAAGTAATATGCATGACTACGCTTTGGGCCACACCATTAAGCTCTGCTCCGGCGCAGGATCTGCGGAGGGCTGTGCCCCAAAACAGTGGCCGCAAAATGTGCACGGCTCGTTCGGCTGTACGGCTATTTAATACGCCCAAATAATTCAGCATAAATTATTCAGTGGAAATTAATTCACTAACAACACCAGTCGTACGGCCAGCAGTAGTCGTAGTATTAGTGCAAATAGCCGGGCGCAGCTACATCGTTGACTAACGGTAACGGCACCTACTTTGGTTTCCAGTGCCACTAAAACTTTACACTGTTGCGGGTCGGTGAGGATGGGTGGGGGGTTTGGGGATTTTGGGGGCCGCATGTGCAACATTAGACACGAAATGGCAATTTTCCATTTGGCAAATGAGTTTTGCGGCCGACGGACTCCAAATATAACAATTATGCAAAATTACAAATTCTCACAATTCAAATGGAATGCTTTGGTCAGGACATTGGGTCCTCATGATGCTGCTGCTGATGCAGATGCTGACTAAATGGAAATTTATTGGCGCCGAGCGCAGGTCGCCGATGCTTTGGGGACCCAGCTGAGGCCGCGTCCTTCTCCTCATCCTGCTCCTGCTGTTCCCCCCGTTGATGCCGTTAAATTATTTTGCGTGTGTAAATTTGGCGGAAATAGTCTGTAACATGATATGCTAACACTTGTGGTGCACAACGGGCTGCCAGGGTGACAGGTGGACACACAGACAGAGACAGAGAGAGAGAGAGAGACAGAGAGAGAGAGAGGGCGCGAGGGGAGTCGTGTGCCGGCCATAAATAAAATTCCATAAAGTTTTTTCTTTTAACAAATTTATACTCAAATAAATTAAAATGGCGCAAGGAAGCGGCAAACAAATTTGTTGTATTCATTTTGCATGGATTCGTTGGCTGGCGGTTGGTGCTATATATATATATATATATATACATATATATGTATGTTTGTACAGAAGTATGCACACAATTAATTTTAATTGCAATTGAAATTGAAATGTAACTGGAAATGCGAGCACAGGAAATTGCAGAGCAACGCGAGGAATGGTCTAATATGAAAGCAAACATTCTGTAATTCTATTCCCAAATGTTTGCACAACTATCATAAATTGATGAGAAATATATATACGATATATGTAAATGCATATTTGACAGATACATTCACATATGTGTTCATAAAAATTATACAGATATCTACCAAGTATAATGTATATTTGCAATTAATTGCATTTCAATTCAAATTATTGTATGAGTTTAGGTGTATTATTTGAATTTTGAGGAGTTCGATTAATCGATTTTTATATTACTTTGAAAATATATATAAGTAGTTTTCACAAGCTTATATCTTTAATCAAGTGTTTTTTTATTCAAGCCTTAATTTAATTAATTAATTCGGACACTGCTGCAGAATGAATACAAAACAAATCTCAAACTTTTTGCGCTAGAATAAATGAATAAATTGAATGTTATTATTGAGAATGCTTGGCTATGAGATATCCCGGATCCAACTATTCAATATATATATATAATATATATATATATAATATATAATAATAATATATTGCTGATAGTAGTTTAAAATATGTCGTCCTAGAAATCTCTGCTGCTTATCCGATTTTAATTAATTTATTACAGTTGACTTATTCTACTTGTCTGTTGTTGGGTTAGCAAATGCTTCCTTTTACCTGTCACATAAATTGGTAAAAATTGCATAAAAACATTTATAACCATTTTGAAAATGACTAAAAATAATGTAACTTGGCTTGTCTTAAGATAATTTTTACGAAAAGCAGCGACAACAAATTGTTAATTGCATTTATCTTTTTAGAGATCGTTGAAAATGTTCAAATTGTGCCAAAATAAAGATCAGCCTTGAAAGATATCATATCATTATTTTTATTCTTTTTTTAATATAAAATGCATTTAATCTTTATCACTGCCTCTTCTTAGAACTTCTTGGAAATCCCTGCTGTGTTTCTTACAACAACTTAAAATACTATTGCCAACTTTTGGGCTGTGCCACTAATTAGCGCACATTGGCAGCAGTTGTTGTAGCTAATGTGGTTGCAACACACGGGACACAAGCAGGCAACAGCAGCAACAGCAGCAGCTCATGCAACTGCAGCAAATGCAATTATCCAATTGGATGAAATGCACTTGCTGCTGCTTTTTCGGCCTAGGCCCAGGCCCAGGCCCAGGCTTAGACAATGCAACGCAATGCTGCAAGCTGTGCTGAGCTGCTGTTGCAGCAGCACACGCGAAATTCAATTAGGTGCGCACTAAACAGCGCAACGATTTCGATTTGACTGCCAGGGGAGGTGTGGGGAATGGGGGCAAATGCAGGCATGGGCGCAGCCAGAACTGGACAAATCTGTGTGCTAAGCTCGGACTCGGAATTGCCTTTTGTTGTCACTGTGTGCTGTGTGTGTGTATGTGTGTGTGTGGGGGTGTTGTGGCACATTGTGTCGTTTGTCGCTAGTTTCTGCCACGAGCCGTCGCCAAAACGGGAAATTCAATCAGAGCTGTAGGATTAGACAGCGGCAGCAACTGTCTACCCCAATTGCATTAGGGAGCTGCATTCGAGTTGTTCCGTGTTCCGTGTTCCGTGCCCCCCTCCTCCCCCTTGGCTGTACCGTCTGTTAGGGTTGTCAACATCCGCGTGGAGCGATTGCGTTAATGGAATTAAAAATTTAACAATTTTTTACTCTCTTTTTTTGTGTTTGCTTTTTTTTTTGCTTGCTTGTTTATTGTGCGCTTTTTATGCCAATTCGTTGGAGTTGTGCAGCGGCTCCCCTTTTTATTCACTCTCTCATTCTATCTCTCTCTCTCTCTCTCCCTCTCTCTCTCTCTCCCTCTCTCTCTCTCTCTCTCTGTCGAGATGTGTCCCCCCTTTGGCGGTGGGTGTTGCTGTCGCTGATTGACTTGTGTTTCATTTTAATTTGGTTAATTCAAATTAATCAAGCGAAGTCGACAATTTTTTTATTTTTAATTTTTATCGCCCTGTGCGTGTCTGCGAATGCATTTGTTTGTCATACCCTTTTCACGCTGCTAAGTAGGGTATGCCTCAACATTTTTTTATGCAAAAATCTATTACATAAATTGTAAATAGATGTTTTCTTATGTTTAATATGAACACAATCA